GGTTTCTCTGTGTAGCCTTGGCCTTTCTGGACCTGCTCTGTAGACCAGGCTGGCCTGCAACTCCCAGAGATCTGCTTGCCTCTGCCTCCTGGAAAGCTGGGATTACAGGCATGTGCCACCACGCCCAGTTCAAAATTGATTTTTTTTTAGATCAATTTGTGAGATGAATTGTACCTCTCCTAAAGTCGCTGCACATTTTGAGAATTAGCTCTTTGTTGTTGTTTCTAAGGAAAGTTTCTTCAGTTTGTGGAGATGACTCAGTGTGTAAGATGGCTTGTGGTAAAAGCAACAGGACCTGAGTTCAAGGCCCCAGCACCCATGTAAAAGCTGAGCATAGCCTCTCATGCCTGTAACTGTACTGTTGAGGGAGCAGAGACAGGTGGATATCCACAGCTCAGTGCTAGACAGCCAGCCCTAAGCTAAAGAGTGAGTTTCAGGATCAGTGAGAGACAAAAGAAAAAAGAAGAAAAGATAAAGATCATCGACATCCTCTGGCTGCCATAGGTGCAAACGAGTGATGAGCGTGCACACACACAATGTTTGCTTGCCGTGATTTACGGAATATGTGGCTGTGTTTCCGCGGGTGAAGTGGACAATTGATCTGGCAGACAAAGAAGCCAACGCTGTAAGCTGTACTTCTCACTATGCCAAAAACTACGATGGTGACTTGTGCTACTATGATGTCTCATCTGTCCCTAGGGACGCCGCCAATGGCGCACAGCCAATCACTAAGCTCTGCCCAGCACTGACCCATTTTGCTTCCCTCCTGCAGTTTTAAAAGCAGAAAGTGTGGGGATGCCTTTGCCGAAGCCCTGTGCAGGAGCTTGCCTACTATGGGGAGCCTGAAGATTCTGGGGTGAGCCGAGGCTTGCGAGCAAGATATGCCACTGAGGATGTCTGGCTCACTCTTCCGTGCTTTGTCTGTAGAGATGGAACCCTGGCCAGCCCTCTTCTCCATCCCCAGTCCTCTCTACCATCTTTGCTTGCCCTGTAGGTTAACAAGAAGTAAGATTACAGCCCGAGGCATCAGCCATCTGGTTCAGGCTTTGCCCCTCTGTTCCCAGCTGGAGGAGGTCAGGTGAGTGATATACAGGAGGGTTTTCTTGCCTGAGGAAAGGGTCACTTTTCAGCTCTTAGGACACCCCTGGGGCCTGCATATTCTCATCAGGGACCAGCGAAGGACACATCAGTGTAAGAATGAGCTGGGCCAAATCCAAAAGAACACCTCTCAGACTCCAACAAGATGCATATTTGGGGCCACCTTGGAGAATCATGAGTTTTGGGCTCCCTCCCCTCATTCTGTGACCCTAGGAAAAGGGATCACAGTGTTTAGGCAGAAGGCAGGTACTGTGGGTACACATAAATGCATACAACACACAACTTCACTTTCCTGCACACTTTCAAAAAGTGCACTCACCTAACTCAAGGGTGTGTCCTATGCCTGTTCACAGATCCGTACATTTGTGGCACACACAGGCATGCTTAGATCCAGCACACACTGGCTGAGCACATCAGGACCGTATACTTCTTGCTGGTGTCTGGAACTATTGCTCCAGAGAAAGGTGGAACCAGAGACCTTCTACTTCAGTCTTTTCAAAAAAATTTTTAATTTTAATTTTTCTTTTATTTTTAGATTATAATATAATTTTATAATATATTTATATGATATACTTATTATATAATAAATATATAAATATATAACATAATTTATATTGTATCCTTTCTCCCTTCTGTTTGCTCCTGTATCCCTTTCAGATTCATGGACTCTTTTTTCATTAATTGTTATTGTATGCATGTACGTATATATACATATATATTCCTAACTATAACCCACGCAGCCTGTAAATGTCACTTGTATGTATGTTTCCAGGTCTGACCAACTGATGTTGGATAACTAACTGATGTGCTTTTCCCACTCTTAGCATTCCTCAGTTGCCTCTAGTTCTTTGTGTAGGGTTGAAGTATCATGGACTGTCCCCCACCCACTTTAACATGTCTGTTGATGATGTCGTTGTCAGGCTCATGTTTAGGCAGTCATGTTGGTGAGTGTTATGAGTGTAGCTTATGCATTACTAGGAGACAGAGTAGCAGGAAAACCCTTGATCTGCTGTAGTCTCATATAGCTTCTTTCTGAGATTCAGAAAGGCAACCCCTGAACCCAAGCAGGCTCACCCAAGCAGTAGGATACAGCACTTACAGAATGGAACACAAGCTGGCCAGTCCCTACTCTTCCCTCTCATGGGTGCCTTTGGGCAGTGGTCACTGTGGTTGGGATGAAGGTTTAAACCATTGATCTTGTTGAAACTGTCCTATTTTAGTGACCTTAATCTTGGTCCCTGTTACCCCCCTTTTCTTTCTCTTTCTTTCTTCCTTTCTTTCTTTCTTTCTTTCTTTCTTTCTTTCTTTCTTTCTTTCCTTCCTTCCTTCCTTCTTTCCTTCCTTCCTTCTTTTCTTTGTGTGTTTTTAATTTCCCCTGTTGCTCTCAATTATTCTCACTCCATTTATCCACCTGTCCTTCCAGCTAGGATTCCAGGTAGGGAGAGTGAGTCAGAGAGACCTCACTGGTCCCCTGGGACCTTGGTGAATTTAAGAGTCAGGCACACTGTGCAGCTCAGCCCAGGGAGCAGATCTCACTTCATCAGACTGTCACCCCCACCTGGGGCCTCCAAGTGCCCCACCCCACAACTGAGACATCGGGTCTTGGTCTCTCTGCAGTCTGAATGACAACCAGCTCAAGGACCCAGAGGTGCTGAGTCTTGTGGAGCTGCTCCCTTGCTTGCCGAAGCTCCAGAAGCTTGAGTAAGTGGTCTTTACCCCCAGCCAAGCCCCTTTCCTGGCCCGCATCACGTCTTCCTTTGCAGACCACGTCAAGGGCATCCACCCTGACACTTTGCCACAATTATGCAGCCTGAGCCGAAACAGCTTCTCCGTGTCAACCCTACTGTACTTGGTGAAGGTGGCCATCACATGTCCTACTGTCAGAAAGCTGCAGGTCAGGTGAGCAGGTCTTCGAGGTCTTAGGCAAAAGGAAAGGGGCAGAGGCGTGAAGGATGGGACAGGAGGAGGTCCCTAGCTTACGATACCTGTATGAATAGCAGAGTCATCTTGATTCACAGCTAGAATCTTGCTCAGACCTGGTGCATAATAAATAGTAAGTGGATGGAAAGATGGATGAACAGAACTGTGAAGCTCAGGCACAGCGGACCGAATGAGTCGAGTGTCGCTCTCCATGGTTCTGAAACAGTGTTCTCTCGTTGGCTCACGTTGTAGGATGCATGTCAGGCTTCTTAATCAGAATACAATTGTAACTCTCATTTTTAAAAACAATCAGAGGGCATGGTAATGCACACCCACAATGCCAGCACTCGGGAAGATTAGGAGACCAAGGCTAGCCTGAGGGCCATAGTGAGTTTAGGGTCAGCCTGATTTACATGACACCTTGCCTTAAAAAACAAAAACCAGCCAGGTACAGTGGAGCAGGTCTTTAATAATCCCAGGGAGCATCCCTATACTCCTCAGGGAGGCAGTGACAGGTGGATCTCTGTGAGTTCAAGGCCAGCTTGGTCTACAAATCGGGTCCAGGATAGCCAAGGCTACACAGAGAAACTCTGTCTCGAAAAACCAAAACAAAACAAAAACAACAACAAAAACTCTCTCACCTTATCTTCCTGACCTTACAAAAGCAGGCTGTCTGTGGTGGCAGAGAATTTATGGCTTGTGCTGGGACATTCCTTCCAGTTCTGTTTTCTCTACCAGTTAGGAAATAAACTTTTTCTGAATGACTGGGGTGGGGGCAGGTGACAGCTCGGGAAAGTCGAGTGGTGTGCTGACATCCAGTCCCTGGCTATCATGGCTTTGTGTCTGACCCTGTAGGGAATCGGACCTCATCTTCTTTCTGTCCCCGGCCACAGAGACAGCTACAAAGCAATCAGGGTAAGTAGCCAGGGGGGCATGGCTCCAGCTAGTTTTGAGAAGGGATCTAGGCTGGAAAGGTGAAAATGAGAACCTAGCAAGAACTGGAATGGGAAGATTCTCCCTGCTGCTGTGTGCATTCCTGCTCAGGGCTGGCCAAGTGTCCTCCCTTCCTCCCATGTCTGGAGTGCATCCGACTCCTGGCTAGAGAAGCACCCTAAGGGTCTGAAAGTGAGACAGGCGTGTAGGCAAGACATGAGGATACTGTGCAGTGAAAAATTCTTCAAACTGAAGGACACACAAAGGAGACGGCAGTGATGGTAGCTCCCTCTTAGGGCTTCCTTGGGGGTAGAAGGAGTAAATTATCTAACATGCTTCAGGCATAGGCAAGCCACCAGCACTCAGATGTTAGCCATCATGCTTTCCACTTGCCTTGCTCCCACTTTAGGTGGGTGAAGATAGGAACACTCCTGTCACTGGGAAAACACTCCTACTGTGTTTCTCTCACTCCTCCCTGGCTAAGATCCAGAGCCATAACTTAACCTTTTCCTGTTTTCAGCTTCACTCTCGCCATCTGTACCATGACCCAGTTGGGCCAACATCACTTCCTTCCTAGAGGTCTAGACACCCAATGTGATCATTATCAGTCACAATGGCTATTTAAATGAAGTAACTTTCAGCCCATCAGGTGCATTTACCACCCTTCCAGGACTCAGCAGTGGTCACAGGTGTCCTGTGGCGGATGACACAGTGGACGAGCACGTCTGTCATTGCAAAGGGTTCTGTTAGTTCCGATCTATAAGTTTACGGACATTGGCTGATGGTATAGCCCAAGCTTCTCTACCGTCCCTGGCACTCTCTTCAGCTCTTGGGAGAGTCTGGAAAGGCTGTAGCTCCCCACTGCCTGGACCTGCCTGTGGCAGACAGTACCTGCTCCCTGTCTTCCGAACCAAAGGTCACATCAAAGAGATGCTATCATAGACCTTAGAACATTGAAACTGAAGAGTCTGATAGGTTAAGTGACTTGCCAAAAGCTGCACAGCCAACACATGGGGAAGGCCACATTTGAATAAAGGCTCCCTTAGACCTCAAGCCCTTTGCTCCTACTACTTTGCCTACTGGCGCCTCGAGCACCTTCCAGCACCGTCTTTGCCACTAACCCATGATGGGATGCTGTGGGGTCATCAGCCCCTAGGTGCCGAGCAGAGGTCCAGTCCATCAGGTCTGGCTCCTGGTCTCAGACTAGTGTGTAATCTGTTCTTTTCAGAGCACCAGACCTACAGGACAAAGATGGACAGAAGAAAGAACAGAGCCGAAGCCTGGAAATCAGGTACCTTGGCAGGGCCCACTACCCTCAGAAAAGGATGATGGAGGGAGGGCCTTTTCCCAAGAGAGGAAGAACTGTCAGGAAGGAATTCAGGGAAAGCAGATGGAGGGACAGGGAAAGGGCATGCATAAGCAACTGTGTCAACAAGAGCTTCAGCCAGATGGACCCATGCTGTATGTGTGGCACTGTACTCAGAGGTCTGTGTGTGGTACCTCATGGGAAGCCTTTCAGGAGCCCCATGAATGACACGTATTACTCTAGTCTGGTAGAAGACACATACAGACTGAGTGCCTTAAGCAGCATCACCCCACTGCTTAGAGGTGCACAGATCCCAGAGCTGTTCCCTCAGGACCCACCTGACTCAGAACCGGAAGGACCATGATTTTCCCCTGACACCCTCCATTCCTATCCCAGGCTTCAGAAATGTCAGCTCAGGGTCCATGACGCAGAAGCCCTTGTGGAGCTATTCCAGAAAGGTCCCCGGCTGGAGGAAGTGGAGTGAGTACCCTGGGAAGTGGGAAGCCTGGAGCAGGAGTGGCTTAGGGAGGCCGGGCAGTGCAGACAAAGCCTTACCATCGTGTGGGTGGTGAGGTGACAGTTGGCTGGGGACACTCCAACAGTCAGAACATCTGTCACCTGTCCGGTATCACATGCTCATTTAGAAGCTGCTAGGATGTGTTTTTATCATCTCCTTTCTGTGATGGAACCACATTTCATAAGAGAAAGCAATGAAGGCACCAAGATAAATTTGTTCAAGATTAAACAGCCAGCAAGAGCCTGGTCTGACGTTTCCAGCCCATCCTCATGAATCCTGCCACCACTTCCTTGGCCATCAGTAAAGTGGGACTCCTCCTGCATTTGGGGTGACCTATTCTTTACAGGCATGATGCCTATCTCCTGGGCAGGGCTTTAGAACTGGTGGTGGTCATTGCCTAGTGATAGGAAGAGAACTCCACCAAGACAGTCCCAGGAAGTCCTCCAAGGGATGTGTAGAGAGAATGGTGCGGTGCTCCAGTTGGTGGCAATGCATGCCTATAATCCCAGCACGTGGGAGGCAGAGGCAGGCAGATTCTTGAGTTCAGGGCCAGCCTGGTCTACAGAGCGAATTCCAGGATACCAGGGGCTACATAGAGAAACCCTGCCTCAAAAAACCAAAAGATGAAAAAAGAAAGAAAAGAAATGGGGTGCTGTGAATTATTTAGGAATGAGTTGGCCCCATCTCAGGATGAGGGTCGCCTGTTTCATTACATTGTTTCATTGTAAGTCTCAGAGACAGGATTAAAATGTATCAAATGTGGGCCAGCACGGTGGCTCAGCAGGTAAATGCACTTGTCATCAAACCTGCCCATCTTAATTCAATCTCCAAGACCCACACGATGGAAAGAGCAGAAAGAGCGAATCAACTGCAAGTCGTCCTTTGACCTCCATGGGCACCCTCCCCCCCTTTGTGTGCTACAAAATAACAAAATAAATTCAATTTTTGTTAATGATTAAAGGTCTAGAGGGCCGGCTTAGTGGCTGATTGCCCGATGCCCTTCCAAAGGACCCGATTTCAGTTTCCAGAACCTGTGGTGGGCTGCTGTAACCGCCTCGAACACCAGTTCCAGGGGATTCAGAGCCCCAAATCCTCAAATCCTGTGGGACCCAGAAGCCACGCCACAACCTCCCCAGCTGCTTTCACCTGCTGCCCTCGCTCAATTTCCAATCTAAACACACTGGTTTCTTCTGGGTGCTCTGCCACAAGGCCTTTGAAGGTGCTATTCTCACTACTAGGGGCAATCTTCCCAAATCTCTCCCCGACCACTTATCTGTGGGATTTCAGGGATTTCCAGCAAGTAGCTAAAAACTCAGGAAAGCATCCCTGGCCACACTGGGCCGGATATCGTGGATTTAGAAAGGTCATCCCAAGGAGCAATAATGGATGTAGCAGCAGACAAGGATGATCACAGGGGGGACCCTCGAGGCAGGCTGTCTGGGTTCAAATCCAAGCCCGCCCCTGAGCAAGGCCCTCAAGGACCCCGTGCCTTGGTTTGCTCAGCAGTAAGATGAAGGTGTATGTGTTACTGCTTCGTAGACTGTGAGCATGAAATGTGCCACCAGTGTACAAGTACCAAGGTCATCGCCACCTGCTTGTTGTAAAGCTCACTCCTGGGAATGCCGCTCTGACGAAAGCCGAGGAGGGGCCGTGGGAGCATCTCCACAGTGCCTCTCTCTGTCTTAGTCTTTCAGGGAACCGCCTGGAAGACGAAGGCTGTCGACTTGTGGCAGAGGCTGTTGCACAGCTGCACATTGCCCAGAAACTGGAGTGAGTTGTACAACCTGCTGCTGGGGAACGGGAGAAGCCTCGAAAGAGTCCCATCTGGTTCCTGCTACCCCCTGACCTCCATGTCCATGGCCAGGAGTAGTAGCATTGATCTACCCATCTTCCTCTCTCTCCACCTAAGTTGGGCTGTTGACTATACCTTGCTCTTGCCTCTGCCCTGAACTGCTAGTAACGTCAGCATCTAATTGCTTGCACATGGGCAGTAGAACATCATGGCGGACCTGGCTCAGGTGGTCCTTGCAACAGCTGCTTGCCCTGGGCCAGACTTGAGGCACTGGGTGGGGGGAACTGTGCTCCTGGGTCAAGGCATTCGTGGAAAGAGTGGTGCATTGGGTTAAGCGTAAGTTGTTGGAGTGGCAGCCCAAGAAAGCAGGGCGTACATGGTGCAGGACCGGGGCAGAGAGAGATGGCATTTGGAGGTGTTGTACTGGGGTCTAAAGGTCCTATTTGGGTTGGGTAAGGAGTAGTGAGGTTGAAAAAAAAGATTTGGGCTTCAGCTTGAACTGTGTCATTCTCTAACTTTGAAACTCTGGGAAAGTGGGCCTCAGTTTCTCCATTTGTAAAATGGAGTTAAATGAGACCGTGCCTGTCTAACTAAAGGCCAGCGTACAGAGCCCACTATGTCAGCCCTCCATGTTACTCCATGGACCGCAAAACTGAAGCTCGGAGAGGGGAGAACCCACGGGCAGTGCCTACGGATTAAGGCAAAGGACTTGATTCTCTGAGTGTGTGTGTTTAGGGGGCGTCATACATCCCTTGGCTCACATGGCTGTAGCTCTTTGAGGGACCCTGCTTGGGGCCCCATGACCGCTAACAACTTCCAAGCCGCAACCAGGGGCAGGAGTTGTGTGCCCGCTGATACCGCCTCCTCCTTCTCTCCACAGCCTCAGTGACAATAAGCTCTCTAGGACTGGGGTGGCCTGTGTGTTGAGAGCTGTGAGCACGTGTGGGACCCTTGAAGAGCTGCGCATCAGGTGAGAGCCACAACAGGGCCCCGTCACTGCCCTTCATCCCTGAGCCCCTGAGCTCCAAGTCCCCTCATTGGACTTTCTGAAGCTCCCCGTATTATTTCTGGCCTCATGCCCTAGGGACCCCCCCCAAAGAAGATGCTACCGGGTGGCCTGCCCAACTGGCACAGTAGTGCAGCCATTGACAGTGCTGTGGGTCCCCTTTGGAGAACTGTCTGGGGCCGGTGAAGCCAGCAGGGAGTGGCGGTAACAGAAACTGAGAGAACAGCTCTCCAGCTCCCCCTCCAGTTGATTCAAGCTATGCAGTGCCCTCTGTGTCCCCACTGCCTGTGGGTCCTGCCCCCTTTCAGCTTCCTTCAGTCCCTTCCCAGCTTCTCTGGGAACAGTCTTCAAGTGACTTGTGACCTCCTGTCCCCCTGGTCCAACCTCAGTTCTCTCTATCAGTATGGGGGACTGAGGACAGGTGTGAATGGATGTCAGCGCTTTGCTGAAAGCCTAGTTCTTGGTTCTCAGCTGCACGAAGGGTCTCTGTCCCATGCACCCCTCAAAGAGATGGAGGAAAATCAGGTTCTCTCACAAGGTAGATTGGGGTCCCCATTCACTGTGATCATTGAGATGTGCTGCATGTCATGGGAGACAGCACCCATATCCCAAAGTGCTGCAAGCAACTGATGAAATCCCCTCCCCCACCGGACCCAGGGAAGGCAGAGAGGGCATGCTTTAGCCTGAGGCACAAAGCAGAACAGGAAGAATACGAAGTCTTTGCAGCAGGAAGGCTTCACAGCTCAAAGCCTCAGAGGAAGTCCTAGGAAGGGGCTTAGCTTAGGCAGGAGCTGTACCTTAACGGTCCCACCAGGTCAGGGTTAGACAAGGGCGCTAAACCTCCTTCCCTCACCCCTCTCTTACCCATAGCCTGCTGACCAACACTGTGGTACTCACATTTGCCCAGGAGCCAAGGGAGCAGGAGGGGAGCCGAAAGAGGTAAGGATGGAGCCATGTCCTCCCTGACCCAGGGAAACCTTGACAAGAACTCACAAAGCAGGGTTGCAGCTGTACCTCAGATGGTAGAGTTTTTATCTAACGTTGCATGAAACCCTTGGCTCAGTTCCTGGCACTGCACAAATCAGACATGGCGGCACCTAAGCTACATGTGACCCTGTCTGAAAAAACTGAAAAAGAACTCACTAAAGTCAGGCAGTGAGCAGGCTTGCAGGAGACAAGGGTCAGATAAGGAAGGAGCAGAGGACAGACTCCTGTGAGGCCTGTGAGGTAGGGTCCGTGGGGTACGCCAGGCCAGGCTGGGATACTCTGACAATTATTCATGGGAAACTTGGGTTTCTAGCCTAAATATAGAGAATAGCCTGCCCTGGAGCTCTACGATGGCCAAAATTCCTATATTCCTTTGGCACAAGGACCATTAAGGGCTGTATGCCATCCTCCTTTAGGTGACTTCCAGCACATGGCCAGAGGAATGGCGCCATGCCTTGTGTTTCTCCACAAGCTATTGCACAGGGTCTGAACTCTGAGGGTTGGTGATGACAGCTGCCATCTCTACCATTCCTGATGGTGATAATGACAATGGTATTAATTAATGGTGACAGCAACAAGGGTTGCTGAGCGTTTACTCTCTGTGCGCAACTAGCTAGCGCTAGACCGAGACAACTCACATGTGCCAAATTAGTCCCAGAGAGAGGCACATAGCAGGTGAAGTCCCATTGACCCTGGCTAAGGACAGGATTGAAAGGTGGATAGTGAGTCTGGGACTGGACCCCAGAGCCAGAAACAAGATGTGCTCAGTGTGGCCTGGCTCTGTGCTCCTCCAGGGGAGCACCGCTTGCCAGCTTTGTGTCTCCTGTGGCCCCTGAGCAGTCCTGGAGCTCTCCAAGGGTCAGGTATGGCGATAGTCTCTCTTCCTTGTCCCCAACCCTTAGGCCTGTCTCATAGGCTCCCTGGAGGACACCGCAACCTGCTGTGTCAAGGACTTACGGCCTGGCAACTTCTTCCCTGCATAGCCCACCCCTCAGCCACCACCCACTGCCCAGGCAGCCCTGTAGCGGCCTGCACCAGGGGCTGCAGAGACTCTGAATGGAAAAAAGAGGAGCCACGGGCCTCTGGTCTCCAATTCTGGGCCTCAGCCTGGACTCACCTCAGCCCTGCCTCTTCCCATCGACACTATCTTCCTTTTGCTTCTCTGCCTGCCTGCCTGCCTGCGTTTTTATCTCATTCAGAATCTGGTCCTTTTTCCATGGCACTTAGTCTTATCCTCTGTCTTTTTGCTTTTTGTCTCTGTCTCTGTTGCTGTCACTCTTTATCTGTGCCTTTCTCTGTCTATTTCTTTTCTTTTCTTTTTTTTATTATGTATACAGTGTTCTGCCTACATGCCAGATCTCATTCTAGATGGTTGTGAGCCACCATGTGGTTGCTGGGAATTGAACTCAGGACCTTTGGAAGAGCAGACAGTGCTCTTAACTTTTGAACCATCTCTCCACCCCTTCTCTGTCTAATTCTGTGTTTCTTTCTCTGTGCCTCTTTGTCTCTGCTTATGTCTGTCTGTCTGTCTGTCTATCTAGCTATCCATCCATCCATCCATCCATCCATCCATCCCTATTGCTATCTCTACCTGTCTCTGTCTCTGTTTCTACCTGTCTCTATCCCTGTCTCTGCCTCTCTATCCCCTTACCTCTGCCTCTCTTTCCCTCTCGTCCCCAGCCCTATGCCTCTTCATGCTATTTTAGGCACGCATCCTGTCTATCTCAAGGTCATGTACCACGATCCTTCCCTTCTGCCCGCTGGCTTCTCTGCCTGCCCCTGGGGTCGGGGGTCCAGCTTTGCTCTGGGCACAGTGTCTAGTGGGCACTGCAGGGCTGTGGGTCTTGCCCCTTGTAGGCTGACACACTGTGGCTTCCTGGCCAAGCACATGGAGGGGCTCTGTGAGGCGCTGAGAGCAAGCTGCCAGACCCACCACCTGGACCATCTTGAGTGAGTAGCTACATCCTTTGTAGGCACTCCTGGCTCCCAGAAGGCTTCAAATCTGGACAAGAATCCTGGGGGAGTGATGTGCCCATGTCTGAATTGCAGCAACGTGGCCTAGTGCTTAGATTGGGTCCCCGGTGCCAAGAACAGCCGGGTGACCACACTGCTACCAAAGCAGAGCCTACTCCACCCTCCACTAACCTTGTCTCCTTCCTTTCCAGCCTGTCAGACAATTCTCTTGGGGACGAAGGGGTGGCCATACTAGCCCAGCTGCTCCCAGGACTGGGTTCCCTGCAGTCTTTGAAGTAAGCAACTAACCCTCCCCCTCCCCCTAAGGCCTCTAGGTTACCACCAGTGAGAAGGTTTTTTTTCTGGGTTCTCTTCTGGGTACAGTAAAGACGTAAGCAGAACGCCCTCTTCCCACAGCAGCACCCAGGCAATGCTCAACAAGAGCACAATGCGTGCTCTGCTCACCCTAGCTCTGCTGGTTCTGCTCAAAGGCCTCTGCACTCCAGCTTCTGCTTCTGCCTCAGGCTTCTCCAAGCAGTCCCTGGTCTCTCCATGGAGAGAAGAGATGTCTTTGTTCCTGCTTTTTTCTTTTTCTTTTTTTGAAGATTTATTTATTATGTATACAGTGTTCTGCCTCCATGCAATCCCATTATAGGTGATCATGAGCCAACATGTGGTTGCTGGGAATTGAACTCAGGACCTTTGGGAGAGCAAGCAATGCTCTTAACCTCTGAGTCATCTCTCCAGCCCCCTCCCATTTCTTTACCGGGTGCAGAAGTAGAGCTCAGGGGTTTCTCTGGGTTCCATTTTAGCTCTTGTCACCAACACAGCTTGTCACCCTGAGCAAGTTCCTGCCTGTCTAGCCCATCTCCTTGGCTGTGCAATGAAGTTAGAGGGTTTCTCTCTGGTCACTTGGGGCTCACTGGGATCTGCCATCTGCTGTCAGAGACACATGCAGAGCGCACGCCTGGGTCCTTGGTGGCTTCCCCCTTGTCACCTGTGTGCTCTCCAGCCTTAGCAGGAATGGCTTGTCCCTGGATGGCGTGTTTGGCTTGATCCCATGTATGTCCTCCCTACAATGGGTGTTCCACTTCGACGTCAGGTGAGTGGTACCCCGCACCTCCCAAGCTCTCCCACCACTCATAAGTTCCTGTGAGGCCCCCCTTTTACAGGTCACCTTGGGTCACCATCGGGGTCTTAGGTAATGCCAAGTGCAGTGAGATGTGGAAGGAATAAACGCATGAATGGATGAGTGAGAGAGTGAGTGAGTGAGTGAGTGAGTGAGTGAAAATCGTGGCCCTCATGATCCCAGGAACAATCAAATTTCCCCAAGTTCTCCTTGGGGCAAAAGTCTTCCCATTCTCCCATACTCTCCTGATTGTCCTTGGATACCCCTAAGCAAGCTGGGAGCTGGCTGGTGGCCTTTGGGACTCGGGTTCTGGACTTACTGTGGCATCTCTAGAGCTGATGAAGCCAGAAGGAAAGGCGCCAGCCCCCCGACAGCCCTGAATCCATCCATATAGAAAGCTTGTAGTTTTAGGAGTATTCTGCTCAGTTCATCCTTTCCCAGGAACCCTAAGAATAAAGGTGTGGCCGCAGGTGGACAGAGCAGGCCTCTAACTTCATTAGACTCTTTAAGTCCTTATTTGGATAGAGCGCTGAAGCTCCTCTCCCAGTTCACCACACGAGGGCGCTGAAATAACAGGCCACGGGCCATGCAAGAGTCTTGAAGAACCATAGCCATAGTCTTTGTCATCCTTTGATCCACCGTTATTATTTTTCTTGGGTAACAGGCCACCTCCTGGTCCTTAAGGTCTTCTGGGGGAGTGTGCCGTTGACCTCTTCCCAACCAGCTTCCTCCTCTTCTCTTTCAGCCTTGAGAGTGACCACATCCTCCTTCGAGGAGCTGGGACTGGCAGGTGAGGAGAGGAGATCTGGGCCCTTCCTGTGGATGCCTCATCACCACCCTAGCACACATCCCCGAACCCAAGGATGAGCCCCGAGGTCTGGCATGGTCTTAAGGGCAGTCGCACTTTAATCTGTAAGCTCCCCCGACCCCTAGAAGCCAGGCTAACTTCTTAGCATAAACATATTTAACACTCCACAGGTCCTCCCAGCTATCCCCTAGTGATGGCAGGCATCATGGCCTTGAACCCTGGAGGCTGTCCTCATGGCTGGGCTCGAGGAGGGGCCAGCTGGGCACTGACCTCACCACAGCTAACGTGCTAGGCGATCCAAACCCAGCGAGCCCCAGGCTAGAGGCTCTTGGTTCCCCCTCTGAGAGCTCTATGGGATCCGAGGACAGAGGAATTGAGGAACAGTGAGGCAGATGTGGGGTCCTGTCAAACTGGTGGACAGTGAAGGCACTCTGCTCTGTCTCCACTCACCTGGTTGGGGGCTGCCCGGCACAGGTGGGAACTGCTGATTTTCCTTGCCCCAGCTTCCCTTTCTTGGATCTCGGTTTCCCCACCTGAGCAACAGAGGACCTGGCTGGTCCTATTTCCAGGATCCCTCCCAGTTCTGCCTCCAGGTGTGGAAGTGCTGATGGTGTAGGAGCCCCACAGATACGGCTCAAGCTTAACGTGTGCTGTGCTTTTCCCCTCCAAGGGACGCACTAACTGGTGGGTGTGAACCAGAGTTTCCGGCTGGAGCCCACTTACTGGAGTCCCGTCAGCGTTACACCTCCAGGAGCTTCTGGTAGCGTACCCCACTTTTGTTTAGAGGGTTTGCAAGACTGGGAAAGAAAGAGGCACAGTGCAGAGACCGGTGCTGGAGGCGCTGCTGGGCCTTATGGATCACCGAAGTGGGGCCGAAGCCTGACACTCTCCTTGGAGATGATGTCATATCTCTGAAACACATTGGATACCCAGCTATCCCTGGCCATGGCTTGCCATCTGCTTTTGAGAGTTTCTTTTCTAGAAAGAGGTTCACTTCACACCTCAGAAAAATCTGGCCTAGGAGCTAGGAGGGGTCTCCCAACTGAGACACAGGGGCTATGTCTCCTCTGAGCCCTGGCATTCTCCCCTAAGATGCCTGAAGTGGTGTCAACAGAGATATTCAGAGAGAAGCTATGATGCCCCAGGCAGGAGAGACAACGTGAGCAAAAGTCAGGACCAGGGCATCTTGAGAAGCATTGCTATGGAGCTGGAGGGCATCGAAGGAGAGCTTGGGCAAAGGCATTCCTTTTTGTTTATTTACTTATCTTTATTTTTTGCTTGAGAATAATAGGAGAACACTGAGGGTTTTGAGCTGTGGAGGGGCCAATTAGATTTGCAGTGTTGAAAGATGAGGTGTGGCCTGGAGAAACGACTCCACAGTTAAGAGCACTCGCTACTCTTGTGGGGGACCTGGGTTCTGTTTCCAGTGCTCACACAGCAGCTCACAATTATCCAGGGCATCTGACACCCTCTGCCATGGGTTTTCATGGGCTTTGGGTGTGCACTTGCCGCACATCTATACATGCAGGCAAAATACGCTCTAAAAATTAAAAAAGATGAGAGGCTTGGAAGGTTATGAAGGACTGTGAGAGCAAGAGTGGGGGTCAGTAATAATAAGTAGTAAGTGACTCCGGAGAGTGAAGAAGGTGCCTAGGCTCAGGCAGAGGTGGTAGATGGGAAGGCCTTACACCACACGGAGCAGCTTTAACGCAGATATCATAATGGTGGCACAGGAGAGCTTGGGGAGGGGAGTGTGCCCTGTAGGGTATAGGACATGATCTGAGGCCTACATTTCTGGGGAGGATGTCTGTTAGAAGGAGGAGGGTGTCCTAGGACAACAGGGGGCCTGTGTCCACTCTGATTCTCTGTCCCATCCCCTGCCCGTTCTCAGCCTTCAGGAGTGTCATCTGGAACCCCTGAACTTTGGCTGCCTCTGTGCCACTCTGGAGAAATGCCCAGGGCCTTTGGAAGTCCAGTAAGTGACAAGACACAACCCCAAGGGCACAGTGTGGGCTGCTGAAACCTGGGAGAGGACTCTCAGAGGAGACTTAATAAGTCTTTCCTGGCCTTCTTCAAAACACATCAGCTGTCCTCTGGGACTTTTGGTCAACCGTCTCCCAGGAGCCTTCCTAGTCTCAGGTACCAGGCCACACGGAATCCTCTCCCAGATGCCCACGCAAGTCTCCCCTTCATCCTCCCTCTAGGGCTAAGCTCATCACCTTTGAGCCCTTTGCCCCTGGACTACTTCACCCACTTCAAATTAAGGCCTTTGACCATAATCAGGAGTTAGCTCAGCCACATAGAAGCTGGCGGATTTGAAGTCCCGAGCCTCGGCTTCCACTTCTGTGCACAGTGAGCCTTTCCTTGGGAGTCAGTTACAAGATTCCTATACAAGAATAACCTTTTAAGGGCCTGGCGCAGTGGCGCACACCTGTAATCCCAGCTCTTGGGAGGCAGATACAGGTGGATCTTTGAGTTCGAGGCCAGCCTGGTCTACAAAATAAGTCCACGGAGAAACCCTGTCTCAAAACAAAACAATAATAACCTTTTAAAAACTGCAGTCCAGAGACCCCTAACTAAACAAACTCTTCTTATCCCTGTATTATGGTGTCATTTGTCACAGCCCTGTGTATTTTTTTTTCTCATTGTATGCTTCATTTTTTACTTTCTGGTTGCATCGTGTTTATCCAAGATTCTTGGAACTGAATGGGTTTTGAATTTTCTTCAGACTTTGGAATATGTATATGTTTGTATATGCAGGATGAGATACCTCAGAAAAGGGAATCGAGTCTAAACACAAAATTCATCAGTTTGATGTAAGCTCTATGTCCATAAGCTGGAAGAAATGCTCAGTGTCTGTAACAGGCCTGCACTTGGAGCTGAGACCTGTGAGGACTGGAATTTTCCACCTGCACTGTGATGTCAACGCTCACACTGTTTCAGATTTTGTATTTGGGATTTGGGATTTTCAGATTAGTGCAGCTCCGCCTGAGCTGCAGGCTTACACCAGGAGCAGCCTACAGTCACACCTGCACCGTACCTGCTTTTCCATGCAGCGGCAGCCACATGCCTTCTGGCTCCATCTCAAGTCAGTTCTATTCCTTTGGACAAGCGAATCCATATAGATCCCCTCAGTGGGCACTTCCTATGTGCTTCCCCATACCAAACACACAGGATCGGATCTGGCCAGGAGCAATCTCCCTGCATCTAATTACTGTTCAGTGACAGTGATGGTATGACTTTTCCTGAGGGGCAAGTTGTGTGAGTCCAAGTCGTTAAAAACCATTTTATTACTTTTTATTTATTTATTGTTTGGGGAGGGGAAGGAATGTGTGTGTACCACATGTGTACAGCTTGTGTTCAGAGGTCAGAGGAGACGTTTCATAGGTCACTTCCCAGGGATTGAATTCAGGTTGTCAGGCTTGCTGGCAAGTGTCTTTACCCTCTGAGCCAACTCACCAGTCCTCAGTTCAGTTTTGAAAAGTTTGTTCTAAGCTGGGCACGGTGGTGCACGCCTGTAATCCCAGCACCGTAGGAGGCAGAGGCAGGCGGATCTAATCTTTATTTATTTTTCTATTTATTTTTTTGTACTTGTGTGGGTGTGCCGCACGGAAGTCAGAGGAACTCACAGTTACCCATTCCCACCTTCCACCGTGTCGAGCCCAGGGTCCATCTCACTGGCTCTCAATTCATTTTAAAAACAAATTCCTTTAGAATAATTTTAGACTCCGTTTCAAAAGCAGTTGCAGAGAGGGTGCAAGAGAGTTGGCGACTCATGCCACATGGCGTGCTTGTCACCAGGAGGAAACCACCTGTGGCAGACAGCTGCCGGCTCAGGCTTTCTCAGCTTTCCCACCGAGATGGACCACTGCCTCCTGGCTGGCAGTCTGCATTCACATTGCCGCCAAGCATTGTTTCCCAGCCTCCTCTCTCCCTGGAAGCTTCCCGTTTCCTTCTTTGTCTTCCATGTCCCCCTTGGTTTTGAGCACCCCACCCCATCCCTCCAGGTATTTTGTAAGCCATCTTCTGGCTGATTTGGGCTGTTTTTCTCCAAGTTAAGCTAGGGTCTGGACGTGGGGGAAGCATCCACTGGCCAAACTTCTTCCTCTGTCATGTTAGGCTGCCTGCTGTCAGGCTTTCGTTGACTTTGACTACCTGTCGGAGCCCGTCCGTCACCCTTCCTCACCGTGAGGTTGCTCTTTCACGTAAACAGGCCTTTTAATTCTAGAGCCTTCTGGCATATAGAGACGCGGAGGGAATAAAGGACCTTTGGGATTCCCCTCTCCCCCAGGAGTGACTGTCTCATAACTCACACCCCCTGCTCTCCCCACACACCACAGCACACAGCCCTGCACGGTGGCACCCGCCTGCGATCCCAGAGTGCGCGGCTAAGGCAGGAGTATCAGGAGCGTAATACCAGACTGGGCCACACAGCTGGCTCCAGACCAGTTGAGATTACAAATCAGCACCTTGTCTCAAAAGCAACAAAAATTCATACGCACACACACACACATGCACAAACACATGCATATGGACTCGGTTACTTTGAAGCAGTAGTTTCCAGAGATTTTATCATCTTATCTGTAAATATTTTGGTATAAAAATCTATAAATGCATTTATCTGTTGATTTTTTATTTTATCTATCTATCTATCTATCTATTTATTTATCTATTTATTTATTTATTTATTTATTTATTTATTTATTTATTTATTTATTTATTTTGGCACAGGGTTTCTCTGTGTAGCCTTGGCTGTCCTGGACTTGATTTGTAGACCAGACTGACCTGGAACTCACAGAGATCCACCTGCCTCTGCCTCCCTGAGTGCTGGAATTACAGGCCTACACCACTATGCCTGGCTCTATCTCTCTCTATTTTAAGTTTCTAAAACAAAATCTTACTGTGTAGCTCTGGCTGGCCTTGAACTAACTTTGTAGACTAAGCTGGCCTTGAAAGCACAGAGAGCCTCTGCCTCTCAAGTTCTGGGATTAAAGGCATGTTCCACTCTGCCCTGCATTCTTATTTTTAATGTGAAAAATTAAAATATTATCAAACCTCAGACATGAACAATAACACCCCCGAATCATACAGTACATCATTCAGTGTCCAGCAGCCTTGCCTGGGGTGTTTTTGCAGAGTGCTTGCCCTTGCATCATGGCTGTCTGGAGCAGGATGCTGCAAGCCCATCTAGCTGTGTGCAGACAGGCATCTGTGTGGTGTCACAGTGACGCTGCCCAAAGTGCTTCAGCGTTGTGTACCTGTTCTGCTCTCACTGAATACCAGGCTGTGGGTTACCACACAGGAGGTGCTGTGGAAAGAGCATCTACAGTGAAGGTCCCACTCAAACACTGCCATGGTTCCTGGCTAGGCCAGGCCAGAAGGCTAGTCTGAGCCTGAAGCCTGTTAGACTTAGCTTCAGAACTGCAGGCTGCTCCTACCCACACCTCACCCACGTCATCAGTGCTGCCCCACCCTCTTCTCCCAACCAGCCAATGAGCACAGCAGGATTGAGGGCAGTAGCCTTCAGGCACAAAGAGAAAGGGACAGAGGAGAAAGTGCAGGGGTGGACAGAGGGATGAAGGCAGCAGGGAAACACAGCCCAAAGGGCTCTGGGGACAGGAAGTGACTCCAGACCCCTCACCCCCCCACACACACAGCAAAGGGCGAATGTGATTCTCTAGATATTCAGGACACACGGTGGCCGCAGGGTAGATGCTTGGCTTCGACTCTCTCCCGTTCTGTCACATTACCTGTACCTGCGCTGCAGTGATTAGACGGGTCACAGATACCCACATCTCCCCGACGGGGTGATGGGTCACCGCTGGGGTGGAAATAGCTGACGACCCTCCACTCACAGTCCTGCCAGTCCATGGAGTTTGTGGAGATCATCTCCTAGTCCCTGAGAGATCCAAAATGTTCACTAGCGATTTCATTTGTTCCATCTAGTGTGTCCAAGATGCCCCTGACTTGACCGAGTCTTAAGAGGGGATGCCGTCAGCGACACCTCTCTTCCCTCCTGAAGGCTCTGCTTGAAGGTCCCCCCGCCTCATTCAAATCCTCTGCTTCACAGATTGTCCTGCAAGACCCTGAGTGACGAAAGCCTAGAGACCCTGCTGCAGTGCCTGCCCCGGCTGCCCCAGCTCAGCCTGCTGCAGTAAGTCCTGGTTTCCAGTCCTACTGTCCAGCTGACCACATCCTCCAGCCTCTGTGTGGCAGGGCTGTCCTTCTTGTCCCCTCCTCTCTCCTGCCACGTCATCAGTCTAACTCACACATCTGAGGCTCAGATCATCTGCTTCACCCTAACTCTGTCTCCTCTGGATCTCTCCTGTGTTCTAACAGTGGGGTTGGTACGACAGCTCTCGCTCCGGGTGGGGGCTCAAATAGGCCATGTGCTCAGAGCTTCATGAAGGATGGGAGGAGTGCGGCCAACAGTCAGTCACGCTTTTGCTGCCTATGGAAAGGTCACCCACCCCTACGAAGGGCCCAAGCAGATGGAGGCCACGTATATGTCACATGCCATGTTCTTAAAGGTCACCCTGTCAAAGGGGGGGAATTTAAGCAGCATCCGTCAAAGTATTTAAAACTCTGTTTTCTAATTTCAGTGCAGACTGGTTAGAATTTAAAAAGGATTTACTTTAAATATGCTTCTAGCAGAGGGGGTTAGGGAGAAACATCCACAGCTGAGATGGAAAAATACAACAGGAAATTAAATCACAGCATTAATAGTGGCACCAAGAGCATGGAGGCTGGGCTCTGGACACGCACAAGGCTGCTTCATTGCCTCTGGGCACTCGCTTCTCTTCTGCTCCTCTACATGGTGGGGAGGAGGGCATGCAGACATGGAACGGTCAGCATCAGGGTTGCCACACCAGACACAGCTCCAGGTCACGCCGCCTCAGCCCTTATTCCGCGTCCATCTTTGGGCCCTTGCTTGGCTTTGGCTGTTTCACCCACCCTCATTGCTGTGGACCGGGCTCTGTCTGGGGTGCTATGGACACAGGAGGCAAAGGCAAACAACTAGGTCCTGGCCTTCTCAGTGTTTGCCTTGTAGTACAATGAGCCAAGCAAGGAATGATGGAGCCAGGTGGTGCCAGGGGGTGGAACCCAAGCCCTTGAGAAGGCTGAGGCAAGGGGATCTTGAATTCTTGGTTAGCCAAGGCTATAGAATAAAATCCTGACCTCCTCCCCCCCCCCCAAAAAAAAAATAAAAGAAACAGTAACACGGTACTTTTCTAGGTGCCAAGAGTCTGGAGACATGACACAGATGATAGTAGGTGTGATCATAGAAAGCTACAACCAACCAGGACAGCAGGGATCTGGCTTTGTAGGCTTGTGAAGGGCAGGGAACCACATCCCAGCCAGTGAGAACAGCATGCTCACAGCCTCGAAGCACAGCTGGCTTGATGGGTTATAGGAACAGCCTTGATACGCATGAGATCAGAGGCTCTGGCTGCCGGGAACAGCTGGGAGACAAGATGGTGGGAGACATCAGGGCTGGTCACACAGGACCCAGGAGCCAGGGATTTGAAAGACAGATGAGTAGTTTGAACTTTCAAAAGCTAGGGTTGGCTGCTGAGTAGAGGCGAGAGTAAAGGACAAGAGCAGCAACAGGAAGAGAAGAGCTGTGCCCCAGGAAAGATGCACCCACAACCAGGTCTCTAAGGCTGCCACGTGGGGTGTCACTAGGATTTGTCTCTCTGGCCTCCCCGCACTTCCTTCTGCCCATGATCTCTGTGGTAAAAATATAGGTAATCAAGCAGACTAGTGAGACAGCCGTAATGGTGAGTTCTGGCCTTAATGGAGAGACTCTGCCTCCAAGAATACTGTAGAAGAGAGAGGTCAAGGAAGATTCTTGATAGCAACCTTTGGATGCACACACACACACACACACACACACACACACATACACACACCTGCATGTGCACCTACTAAGAACATACACATGAGAACATGCCCGCACACCATAAACACCACACAGGAGAAAGAAAGAAAGAAGGAAAGAAAGAAAGAAAGAAAGAAAGAAAGAAAGAAAGAAAGAAAGAAAGAAAGAAAGAAAGAAAGAAAGGAAAGAAGGGAGGGAGGGAGGGAGGAAGGAAGGAAGGAAGGAAGGAAGGAAGGAAGGAAGGAAGGAAGGAAGGAAGGAAGGAAGATGGCTCAGTGGCTAAGAGAGCGTCTGCTCTTACAGAGGACCCAATTTTCGCTCCCAGCACCCTCATAAAATGGCTCACAACCACCTATAACTCCAGATCCAGAGATCTGATGCCTTTTCCTGGACTCTCCAGGTACCCTGCCTCCATGCACACAGGTAACATACACTCGCATGGACACACATCCACAAAGACATATAAATACAGACAAGTCTTCAAAAGAAAAGTTAAACCATAGCAGCGATCAGAAGCATGCCAGGCAGGATGTCCGACGGAGAGGAGAGAATACCGCAATTAGTCCCGTGCACCCCAGAAGGAGCCCGAAACTCAGAAGTTGTAAGACTTACTTAAGGCCACACAGCTAGCAAACAGAACTGGGGCTCAGTCCCCTGCTCCCACCTCTACCCCTTTCTGCTCCTCTTGAGTCCCTGTTGACATCCTTATTACCTTGCTGAGCTGGCAGCTAATATGTACTCTTCTTCCTGCCCCTCCAGCCTGCTTGTTTCTTGGCCAGTGACCCTGCTTGTCCTTGTCCTTTCCTTCTCAGACTGAGCCACACAGTCCTATCCTCAAGAAGCCCCTTCCTGCTGGCTGACATCTTCAACCTAAGCCCACGGGTTCAAAAGGTCCAACTCAGGTAGGTGCCATGCAGGGAGCCTTAGGTCATGGAGGGAGGATGCTGGTGTTTGGTCAGAAATGCCCAAGTCAAAGTCTGGGGACACCCTGAGGCAATGGCCTCAGACTGGGTGAGTGTCTACCTTCACTACAGGTCCCTGTGTCATGCTGTCCTGCAGTTCAGCTCCAAAGAGGAGCAAGAGGGTGTGTGCTTTGGGTAAGTCTTCTGAACCATCCGGGGTATCCATGGAGATTAGGGACAAGCAGACCTGTCCTGTGGGGTCAGAGCAGAGAGCAGGGTGCCTGTTGCCAAATGTGAACTGGTTCCTTCAACAGGAAGAATCAAAGGTCTAGAGAGGGACTGGCTGGGCCCAGGAGCTAACAGAGTCCAAATAGACAAGAACTCAGAGCCGGTTCTACAAAAAGGGGTTCACAACCTGCCCACCCATCCAGCTGTCCAGACCTAGTGCCACCAGAGCCTGGGGCCTGCTTACCCTTTGACCGTCGGCTTCCTCCGATATAGCAGGGTGCTGTGAGACAGCGGAACATTGTCAAAGCTGTACAAACTGTAAGGCACCAGGCACATGCAGACATGGGTGGCCCTGCCTTGCCGATGCTCATGGTCCTTAAGGTGACAGAGACTATGGCACTGGAGGACAGCCTTTGAATGCAGAGGCAGCTGAATGCCGCTAGCTCTCTGCGAGACCTTGGACCCACTCCTTTGGGTCATCAACGTCTCTTTTGTGAAGTGACAGTCAGTTCGCACTCGCTGAGCACCAACGTGTGGCCATAACATGGGAAGAAGAGTTCGGGAACAGAGCTCTAGCTGCTGACTGCCCCAAAGCCAGAGGCAGACACACCCTTTCTGCAAAGGGCTAGACGGCAACTAATTAGCCCACATGTGGTGACACATGTCTGTAATCCTAGCACTCAGGAGTCTGAAGCAGGAGGATCATGAGGTTTATGAGTTCAAGGCCAGCCTGGGCTACATAGAGAATTAATATCTTTTTTAAAAGGTTTTTTTTTTGTTTGTTTGTTTTGTTTTGTTTTGTTTTGTTTTATTAAGGGGAATAGGCTGGGTGGTGGTATATGCCCTCAATCCCAGCAGAGGCAGGCAGGTATCTGTGAGTTGGAGGCCAGCCTAGTCTACAAAGCAAGTTCCAGGACAGGCATGGACACACAGAGAAACCCTTTCTCAAAAAACAAACAAACAAAAACCAAAAAAACCAAATCAAAACAAATTAAGGAGAATAATAATGATTTTTTAAAAAATAATTAGCTGAAAATGTTATAACTCTCAATTTGGGTTTTTTGTTTGTTTGTTTTGTTTTGTTTAAGATTGCTGGCTGGCCACGGCCCTTTCATTTAACTGGCTATGAGATTTCACTGTAGGCCTTTTAAATCAGACAGGCCAGCTATCATTTTATATCCCAGCCTTTGCAAAAACAGATGTCACCCTTATTCTCCCTCCTCGGTCTGAGTTTTTTTTTTAGAGGAGAATGGGCCAGCTCCTAGAGTGATCTAGAGATCTTGAGCTTGGTTTGGAATCTCCTAACCTTATTCTGGAGTTTCTGATCTGTTGGTTTGGTGGGGGACCCAGGATTCACATTCCAGGTTCCCAAGTGATGTTGGTGTGACTGGTTAGAGACCATACTGAGAATCACCCTTCCCATAGAGAGTGCACAGGCACTGAAGGGGGCCTGCAGGGAACAGGGGCTGTGTGTCCACTGTCTTCAAAGGACTCCTGGAGCTCAGAGGCCACACCCAGGAAAAGCTGAGCTAGAAGTGGTCTGAGTATCTGGATGCTTCATCTCTTGCTTGTCCCCCACCCGGCCATGCAGGTTCCCAGAATGCAGCCTCCGCCAGGAGCACATGGAGCCACTGTGCTATGCACTGAGTAGGTGCAAAGCCCTCAGCCAGCTCGAGTAAGTCGGGAGGAGGAAGGCGTGGAGCACACCTGGATGGGGCTGGAGAGGTGAAAGAACATGAAAGCCCTTGTTAGCAGGCACCCTTGTGTGCCCCGCTTCTCTCAGGACCAGTTGTCAGGGGACAGGTGGGACTCTGGGTTTCATCTCTAAGTCTCCCCGGTCTGTGTCTGAAAGGTCATTTTACACCCGGAGGTGTTTCTCCATGGTATAACACTTGCCTACTAGGTACAAAGCCTGAGGTTCAAACTCCAGTACCACAAAAATCAAAGGCAGATCGTTAGAGTAATTGGCTTTGTGTAACAAAGCAATTTTAAAAATCCATCAGTTCTCCTGTGAGTGTGTGAGCACCTCACACATGTGAATACCCACAGAGGCTAGAAGGAAGTGGGTGTAGACCTCCTGGAGCTGGGGTTAAGGCGGTTGAGCCATCCTTTGTGGGTGCTGGGAACTGAACTCTGGGCCTCTGCAAAAGCAACAAGCCCTCTGAACTGCTGAACCACCTCTCTAGCCTCTGCAAAGCAATTCTTAAAAGAAAAGTCTGCAGAAAATTCCAAATAAACAAGTGTCAGGGGTACAGGACTGGAGAGAGGGCGCAATGGGTTAAGAGCACTTGCTGCTCTTGCAGAGAACCCAGGTTCTGTTAGCAGCGTCCATGACAGCTGTCAATTGGCTGGAACTCCAGTTTGACCCCTCTGTAGACACTAGGTACACATGAAGTAGACATACATACATGTAAGCAAACACCCATACGCATAAAAGAAAATTCTCTTTTTTAAGTATCAGAAAGGTAGGTGGGAAATCAGATGTTCAGGTCGCCGCGGTTATGTTTCTGAAGTTGTGCTGAGCCCAGCGATGCTCTCCGGAGAGGGAGTAAGAATGATGTTCCGGCATAGTTTCTGATGTTAGATTCCTAATCACAGGAGGAAATCTGTTGGGTAATTGTATCCTCCAAACATGTGTCCCTTTCTTGGCTCACTGTGGCATCTAGCTGGCACTGGGGGGAAAAGCTCATTTGTTTTTCTCTAACTCCTAAAAGCCTGCTAGAGGAACCTGAGGCCTGTGAGTGATGAAGATATTGAAGGGGGTGATGGGACACAGTAAATGCTGGTTTTCTGTGGTGCTGGTGAGGGGACCAGAGCTGTTGGTGATGCTTAAACAATGGTGGTGCGGTGACGGGCAGGGTAGCTCGGGATGAGGCTGATGCTTCCAGTGGTGGGGCTGGTGACGCCGTGGTGATGATGAGCAGCAGTGGCAGTCAATGCAGTGGCCACAGGGACCATGAGGAGCAGGCAGAGTATAGCGCAGTCCATCAACACTGTTCCTTACTCCTTACAGCCTCACAGACAACCGGCTGGGTGACGGCGGGCTCAGGTGCATTCTGGGATGCCTGCCACAGATGCCCATCTCCGGGTGGCTTGAGTAAGTGAGCAGCCCCAAGACAGCCAGGGGATTTTTCCCCCTCAACAAGAGCGTAAGTGGGGGGACATCTTAAGGGAATCCGAGAACAAGAGCCAGTGATGGAAAGGGATGGCTCTTACCCAGACCTACCTCTGACAAACTCCTCCCTCAGCCTCCCCATGGGCAGATCCTGGGTCAGACACAGGATAAGTAAGGGCTTGTGGTAGAGTAGACCTGCCCCTCCATGTTCCCTCACCAAGTTAGCCTGAGACAGGAGCAGCATTCCATCCCTACCAAGTTTGATGTGGGGCCTCAGCAGCCAGCTCCTAGTTAATCCCACTCCTGAAACCCTAACTCTAACTCCATCTATGGGACATAAGTTTGGAAGGGATCTGCAGCAAGGGAGGATTCTCAGGAAGCTATCCACTCTCACTCCATCTCCTTACACAGCCTGTTGCTAGACAACTGAACTTGGCACTCAGAGTTCCTGATGCAGCTAGGGCCGGAATGGCCTGATCAGGTTCCTCAATATCCCACCCAACCCTAGGAATTACAGGTTTAGCAAAGGCAGCTCTGAAGGACTCAGGGCCAGGTGCATTTCCTTCTGAGACTGTCTCTGTCTCTCTGTGTCTGTCTGTCTGTCTGTCTCTGTCTCTGTCTCTCTGGGCTTCAATGTCAGCATCTAGAGCATGTGTGCTTAGACACATTGGGAGGGGATGGCAAGGGGAAGGGACCCTGATGAGCCTTGCTTCTCTCCTAGCCTCAGTCACAACGGTATCTCTCAGGAAGGGGTCCTGTGCCTGCTGGAGACTCTGCCTTCCTGCCCTAGTGTCTGTGAAGTATCTGTGAGGTAGGCTTCTAACTACTGACTGACTGGTGGTAGGCTACAAGACCCCCACATTTCAGCTTTATGTTGTGTGGTTTTGAGTCTATCCCTGATGGGGTGCCACCAGGGTGGAGAGGGCCAGGTGACTAGAGTCTATTTCCTCATAGAATGAGGGTGGCAAAGGCCTGCCCTGCTCCCTGTAATCTCAGCCCCATCTCTTCCACACACCTCCGTCCCTGTGCCCTGGGTGCCCAGAGTGCTAGCTTGATGCCTCTCTGCCCTCTTTTCTCACAGTCTAGGCTCAGAGCAGAACTTCCGGGTATGCTTCTCCAAAGAGGAAGGAGCCAGGACAACACTGAGGTAATACTGGGTGAGCAGGAAAAAGGCAAGGATTCTGACCTGTGAGGAACCCATGGGTTCCTCACTGGTTCTCTCTTTAGATAGCCTGCTTCTGACTTACAACCCGGTTTGGTCTCTCCACATGAGTACTGATGTCCCCATTCCATTCCCAACACCACACGAACTACATTATACATATTATACAACATGTACACACATAATATGTATATAATATGTGGTACACACATGTACTCTACACACAAAAATGCACATACTCTACACTTACTATCACACATTTTACACATAGACTATACACACAAAATATATACTACATGCTTATACATTCTCACACACATACATGTACAGTACACATGCACACACAGACAGAGACACACAGAGAAAAACACAGACACACAGACAGGAGACACAGACACATACACACAGACACACAGACACACACAGATACACACATACATACCCACAGACACACATACAGATGTATACACACACAGGGCCTTTGCTCTCCATCCCCCTCTACCCCCACCCCCCTCACACCACACCCTGCATAATTAGGCCTTCCTAGCCTGCTCACAATGGGCCCTGAGTCTGGCATCCCCTTCTCCTGCCATTTCTCAGAGAGAATTCTCCCAGCCCTCTGAGGCCAGCTTACGTGGCAGCCCCTCCTGGAGGTCCAGGAGGCACCAGCATCCCTGGCACCAGAGTGAACCTCTTTGGGATCCTGTAGCCCCTTTTTAGGGACAGCGACCTAGTTTACCTGTAGGCTATGGAGGGCAGGGCCAATGCCAATGCCCAGGCACACCCTCCACACAAGGAACCTGAATTACACCATTAGTCATAGGGTCAGGCCGAAGCCAGCTTTTCCTCCCCAGAGATAACCCAACAGCTGTGTGCTGGGGTCAGTCAGCGGCTGCCTGTAAATGTACCGTGAGGACAAAATGAGATGTGCAGCAGGCGGGTGCCCTACGCCTGGAGGCTGGCACTGTGCCTGTGGAGTCATGCTCCGTGAGTGGTTGACTCACAGCTCCTGAGGCAGTAGCCAACACCTGTCAGGCCTCAACCTAGGCCCGTATCCTTCGGGGAGACTGGGAGGCGAGTCCAGCAGCCCAAGCCTCCACCTCAGGTTCTGCCCTCCCTTCTGCCATCAGGCTACATGAATGCAGCTTCAGCCCAGAACACATCTCCAGACTGGCCTCCAGCCTGAGCCAGGCCCGACAGCTGACAGAGCTCTCGTGAGTGACGGGCCCAGCCCATGGGGATCCTGATGGGTGAAGCATCCTGCCAGCCTCAGCCATACCAATAACTGGTCTTTGTCCCCAGGCTGACCAGGTGCCACCTGGACCTGCCACAGCTGACCAAGCTCCTTAGCCTGGTGAATCGACCAGCAGGGTTGCTGGGCCTCAGGTACCCTCCTGCATGTGGGAGGGGAATGGGGTAGCTAAGGAAGGTGGGGTTCCATACACACACCGCCCAGCCATTCCCTGTACTCCATAGGCATGTCTCTGTCTGAGTCATCCCAGGAGGAGAGGGAGGCTGTGCTCTGGGGTTAAAAAAAAAAAATAAATCATGCTTTGTGTATAGCTTAGTTGATAGAGTGCTTATCCAGCCTATACGAAGCCTTGGGTTTTATCCCTAACTCCACAAAAGAAGTAATAATTAAAAATCAATTTAAAATAATCAAAAAAAGCTCTGAAGGATACCTAATGAAAGATAAAAATAAGATAAAATGAATATGCTTACATGTTCACTATAATGTGAAAGCCTTCAGAAAAAGAACATACTAAAAAGGAGACAGAATAATCTTTAAAAACCCACAGTCCATTTCCCGCATTTGGTAATTGCTCATTTTCTTCCATACTCACTTCACATTTGTTTGGCTAAAGTGTTTTAAAGTAAAACACAGAAGACCTCACACAAATATCGCTTCTAAACACCTCACTATGAATCTCTTTAAAAATCAGGGGCTGGGAGGTGGCTCCGTCAGCAAAAGGCTCGCCTTGCCACACAAAGACCTGAGTTCTAGCCCCAGAACTAGAATCCCGTGAAAGAAAAGAGGGGTTAATCCCAACGTAGAGGAGATGGGAGCATCCCTGGGCTCCGTGGCCGGCCAGCCAGCCTAGCCTACTTGGCAAGCTCCAGGCCAGTGAGACCCTATCTCTGGAAACAAGATGGATGGCCCTGAGGAACAACATTCGAAATTGTCCTCTGGCCTCCTCATGCAGGCGTGCACACGTACACACACACTCACGCCCACGCACAAATGGGCACACACTGGGACGTGAACACATATGTATTACTTTTCATGACCAAAGGCAACCTAGGAGAGAGTTTATTTTGGCTTACCATTCTAGAAAGGTGAGTCCTTTATGGCGGGGACACTTGGCAGCAAGCAGCAGACATGCCAACTCTAGGAAGCTGAGATATCACATCTTTAACCGCAAGCACAAAGCAAAGGAAGAGAACTGGAAGTAAGGTGAGGCTCTGAACTCTCAAAGCCCACCTCCGATGGCGTACACCAACAAGGCCGTACCTCCTAAACCTTCCCAGACAGTGACAACTGGAGACCAGTGTTCAAATGCCCGAGCCTGTGAGGGACACGTCTCATTTAAACCACCACAGTATAGAAACATAAACACCCACATACAAATGAATAAGTCAGGGTTGTAGTTCAGTCAGGACACCTGGGAAATCAACTGGCAATCCTTAGGGCCCTGCATTATCTGGGTGAATATGAAATTCTCACGTGGTCCTTAAAGAACAGTTGCCTGTGGGGGCCAGGTCCATACAGGCCCCTGGGCACTGCTGGTCCATGGCTCTGGGCTGCAACTACCCGTCACAGGTAGTGACAGGCCTGCTGACTTCCTTATGTGCCCTGGAGCTAACCACTGACTTTCCTAAAGTGGTAATTAGGTCAAAAGGCTCCATGAGATAAGCTAACAAGTTTGTACCTCAAAACCTGGCTTTACGGGCCACACCACGCATCACTGACTATACAGCTCAAAGATGGGCGCATGAGAGCTGATTATCTTCCTTTTTTAAAATTAAAGAAGTAACATTTCTTTCTCCTTGTCTTTTTTTTTGGGGGGGGAGGGTTGTTTTTTTAAGATGGGTTTTTCTATGTAGCCTTGGCTGTCCTGGAACTCACTCTGTAGACTAGGCTAGCCTCAAACGCAGAGACCCACTTGCTTCTACCTCCCAAGTGCTGGGACTAAAGGTGTGTATCACCTTCGTCAGGCCAAAGTAATATGTCTTAAAATTATAGTCAAATTAGCCATGAGTACTGTCATGAGCCTGTAATTACTGCCCTCAGAAGCAGAGGAGAAAGAGGTCAAGGACTGCCTTGGCTACCTAGAATGTCTAAAGCCAGCCAGTCTGGTCTACCTCAGACCCTGTCAATAAACAAACAAACAGATAAACAAAGTGAAACGACAACCAAAAGAAGTGAAAAAAATTACTGCCGTAACACAGTTAGATATACGTATAGCTTGGTAGTATTAAAGACTTTAGCCCTGATGTTCAACCAGTCTTCATCTTGCAAAACTGAAATTCTTTCTCCAGTGAACAGCTCTCCAGTGCTCCACTCACCCCAGCCTCTGGCATGAACTGTCTGTGAACTGGGCTCCTCCAGTTACTTCCCGTCAGAAGAATCACGCTGTATTTCGCCTTTTGTGACTGCCGTATTTCACAGAGCCTGCCCTCAGGGTTCTCCCATGTTGCTGTAGGTGTGAGAACTTTCTTTTTGAATAGTTGAGGAGTGGGGCAGCACGTGGGTAACACCGCAGTTTACTCGCTCACCTGTCGATGGACACTGGGGGTGCGTTCACCTTTCAGCCCTGTGCTGTGAATGTGGGTGTGCAAATGTGACTTTGTGTTCCACTGTTCAGTTTTTTTCCTAGATCACCCAAACAACACCTTAAAATAAAACGTTCCTAGCCTAAAAATAACGTTTTTAAAATTGGCAGAAAACCCAGACTAGCATAAAGAAAAACAATGTTTTTAAAAATAGTGCAACTGAACTGTAAAGCAGGGATGTTTTAAATAACTTTTTCTTACTACTAAATTCACTTGTACATTTTGCACAAAGTTTAGAAAATGGGCAGGGTGGTGGAGGCTCACACCTTTAATCCCAGCAGGAGGCAGATCTGAGTCTGAGGTCAGCCTGGTCTACAGAGCAAGTTCCAGGATGGACAGGGCTAAACAACAACAACAAAAACCCTGTTCCAAACAAACAAGCAAACAAAAACAAAGTTTAAAAAATGTAGAAAACCAAAATCAGGGGCTGGAGAGGTGGCTCAGTGGTTAAGAGCATTGGCTGCTCTTCCAGAGAGCCCGGGGTTCAATTCCCAGCACCCACATGGCAGCTCACAACTGTCTGTAACTCCAGTTCCTGGTGACCCAACTCTCTCACATAGACATTCTTATAAGCCATACACCAATGTACATGAAATAAAAATGAATAAATCATGTTTAAAAAAGAAAGAAAACCAAAATTGAAGTAAAATTGCTCATAAAAATTCTGCCATCTAACCAATGCCAGGTATAGTGCATACATTTTCCTTGTATCTGGCTCTACCTCTTTCTCTTTCTATGCATTTTCCTTCTTTTAAATATAAAATTGGAGTTATAGTTTTATGACTTTTACCACATAACAACTTGTATTAAATCTGAAAAACATTATTTCAAAAACTACTCTTGGGACAGGGAGATGGCTCAGTTGGTAAAGCTTGCAAACACGATGGCCGAAGTTCAGATCTGCAGAACCATGCAAAGCTGGTCAAGTAGTGTGTATCTGTGTTCCTACAGGAAGATGGAAGGCGGAGACAGTAGCATCCCTGAACGCCCTCTGCTCAGCTTGCCTGGCACGGAGCGGAGAACAACAAAGAGACCCTGGGTCAAACAATTTAGAAGATGAGGGCTGACACCTGAGGCTGTCTGCTGACCTCCATGCACCTCATGACACAGGAAAGCACACACACACACACACACACACACATACACACACACACACACACACACACACACACACACACACACACACAAATATCCTTGAGTCAGGCCTGATGGCAAGTACTGTAATCGTAGCACTCAGAAAGCTGAAACAGGAAGAGTGCCTCAAGTTCAAGTCCACCTTGGTTTACATAGCAAGACTGTGTCTCAAAAGAAATTTAAAAAAAGAAAGAAAGAAAGGAAAGAAAGAAAGAAAAAAAAATTCTTAGTTCGGATTGTTGCAAAAATAATTGTTGGGATGGAGATGATATTAACTTCCCTTTTAACCAAGATGACATTAGCAGAGCAATGCATCAAAAGCATGAGCCTACAACATATATGGCTAAATACAAAAACTTCATTAATTATAACAGTGGGTTTCATTAGGACATGTTTATACATGTATGTAATGTTTTTATTGTATCCATAGCCCCATTGTCTGTGGTTTTTGCTTTTTTTTTTTTGAGAGAGAGAGAGAGAGAAGATTTTATGCATCCCAGGAGAACCTTTATCCTGACCCTCCTGCCTCCACCATCTGAGTGCGGGGATTACAGCTATGCACCACCATGCCTGATTTTCTTGTGGTTAGGGATGGAACCCAACGCCTTATGCACTCTAAACAGATCCCCTACCGACTGAGTACAGCCTCAGCCCTGATTTTATAATTTAAAAGTCACACCCCCACAGCCTGCACACACACAGAATCCTCCAGGCTCCTTCTGGCACTACCCCTCCTTCAGGCATGCTAGGTTGATGCTCACCCCAGTGGTCTCTGTCTGCGTCTCTCCCTTGACAGGTTGGAAGAGCCCTGGCTGGCCCACATCAACTTACCGGCTCTAATGGAAGCCTGTGCCCAAGCCTCGGGATGCCTTACTGAGTTAGGGTGAGTCCAGGGAAGAGCCCTTACTCATCCAGACATTAGCCCTCATCCTGTGGATTAACAGCTTTGTCACTGGCAGAGACTGATGGGCATGCCTGAAGAGCTATATACATTTATAGAGTCTTGTGCAGTAAGCAGGGCCACAATGTCAGAGCAAGGTAACTTTGGGTCCAGGGCCCAGGCAGCTATGTCTGGGTGTCCATGGTGGTTACCCAGAAGCGGCCCTTGGGTGCACTTAACATGTCCTATAGATGTAGATAATGTGTAACAGATTTCACCGTGGTGCTGTCTGCTCTTGGCATCACCTCCCATTTTTGAAATGCCTGTCACCCTGACGGCTGGAGGGTCTGTCGTGCCGTGATTCGAGTAGGAGAGCAGGCATAACACAGGCCTAGTCAGCCCGCCAGGACAAGTGTCTCACCCCAGCTTTTCTTCTCTCCCTCAGCATCTCTGAGGGCCAGAAGCAGCTGTGGCTCCAGCTGGAGTTTCCTCACCAAGCAGACAATTCTGAGGCCATGGCCCTCAGGTGGGACCCAGCATCTGGAGCTTCAAGGGAGTGGCTGGTGGCAAGAAGCAGGAGGTGGGACCAGTGTTTCTCATGCCTGTGCTCTTTCCACATCCTTCACTCTCCATCCCTGCTCCAACCCAACAGCCCCACTCATTCCTACCAAATTTCAATTCCTCAAATACCACCTTGTCCTCTCTGACCTCAGACCCTTTGCACAGGCTCTTCTTTCCACCCAGAATGTCCTTTTCTTGCCTAGTTCCTTCCTCTCTGTCTGGTTATACTTTTTCATACTTCAAGACTCAGCTTACATGTCTCCATCTCAACTGGAACGCCTAACAGCCAAGATTTGGCCAACTTTCCCATTTTCTACCCTCATAGATGCCTGGGTCTATGACATCTCAGTCCAAATGTCACATTTTAGACATCGAAATATCACCTCTTTGGGGTGGACACAGCTCTGCATGCATACATTCTGGGGAATAGAGTGTGGCTGGCTCTCAGCCTCAACTTATCTTCTTATCTGCATGCCCACCCTCGAGTAGTCAACATCAGGCATGCCAGCTGCCCACCTGGACCATTCTTCCCAGCAGTGCTTGTAACTATGCAGTAAACTCAGACTTTCTTCAGACAGCATGCATTCCCTGTGCCATGAGCGTGAAGGCCGGGACTGGACTCCGTTGTGGTCCAGGTACTCAGAAACTGCAGTTATTCTCTCTGCTTCCAGGTTGGCTCACTGCGACCCGGGGACCGACCACAGCCTTATGAGACAGTTGGTGGAGACGTGTGCCAGACTGCAGCAGCTCAGGTTGGCACTGCCAGTGCCGGCGGTGGCTTCAAGTTCTCTGGTTACCCCAGTGTCTTCTCCGGGCCACATTCTCGCTTCCCAAGGGTGGGACTCATTACTTGAGCCAAGGGTCAAAGGCTCAGGGATACCCAGGGAAGATCTTAGAGGATCCATCTCTCATGGTGACTCCTGCAGTGCCTATAGTCTTCTGAAATATTCTTGACTTCTTGCAGTTTGTCCCAGATTAACTTCAGTGACGATGATGACAGCAGGTCCAGGCTGCTGCACTATCTCCTGTTGTGTAGCTGTGAGCTGAAGAGCTTCCGGTATGTGGACTTACACTTCTACTGAGACCCTCTTGCCTACCCACTCACCTGAGCCCTGCCCCTGGGTCCAGAGGATGCTGTCCCCATTCTATGCTCAGGTCTCAGGTTCTTAGAGATGATGCTAGGGCTCCAGGGGTCCTAAGTGTGACCTTAGGGACGCAGCCACACAACTAAAACAGTGTCCCTTTCTCTACATTCTGTGTTGTTTTGTTTTGTTTCTGGAAAAACTGCAAATGAAAAGTTACTGAGCATGTAGAAGGCCAAATCAGGAGGATGTGGAGTTGAAGGCTAGCCTGAAAATTTTGTCTCAGAATCAAACAAACAAACTTGTAGGATTGGGAATTTACCACAAATATCTCTGTTGATATTTTCACATTGCCTCGCTCCTCCTTTTATCCTCATCCCCTCTTTTTCTTCGGACTTCCACCCACAAATGTTAGCATCTACTGGTAAACCTTGCCTGAGTTAGTTACCAGAACAAAGACTGCCAAATAGAACTTTGGTTTGGTTGGGTTTGGTTTGATTTTGAGACGGGGTCTCAATATGTAACCAAGGCTAGCCCCAAACCCTCCACCCTCCTATCCTAGAATGAGCCCCCATGCCCAACACAAATGAGGTTTCCGGATGTTCAGTGCAACTGATTACATCAAGGAACTCTCAGCTGGTGAGATGGCTCAGCCAGTAAAGGCACTTGCTGCCAAGCCTGAGGACCTCGTTTGACCCCTAGGAGCCACGTGGAGGACAGAGAGAACTCCTAGGTACTACACTGACCTCCATACACACACATGATGGCATGTGCATGTATACACACAAACACACCCACACACTAAAATAAATAAAGTCAGAATTTTTAAATAATAGAGAAACTTGGTCCTCCCCCCCCATAACCCCTCCCACTCTCAGGAGTTTTTCTTACTTTCCCTTAATAAATTTTTACGAATAAATAAATAAATAGAATAAAGTGCAAAAAACTTAAGTGGAGGAAAAGTTTTTATTTTTTTAATTTTAAATAAAAGGCCCATGAACTTGGGTAGGATGTGGTGGTGTTTGCTTTTAATTCTAGCACTCAGGAGGCAGAGGCAGGCTGATCTTTGTGAGCTCAAGTCCAGCTTGCTTTACACAGTGAGTTCAAGACAGCCAAGGCTACACTGAGAGACCCTGTCTCAAAAAACAAACAAACAAAAACAAAACCTCTTTGGAGCTGTCAGGCTTCAACTGTAGAAGGTTGAGAGCTGTAAAAAAAAAAAAAAAAAAAAAAAGTCAGCTGGCTATTACCATGGCACCCAACTGTGGCTAAGGAGGATTAGGGGACAGCCCCTGCTTCTGCCTCCAGCTAAGTCCTGACTCAATTAGGATGGAGAGGTTTATGGAGGACAGATGTCCCCTACCCACTGTCTCCAAGAGCCACTCCCAGCTTCTGTCATCAGTGCCAGACCTCCTGAGGGCCAGGCTCTGCCTGACCTACCACGTTTGGTCCCAACAGGCTGACCTCCAGCCATGTGAGCACAGAGAGCCTCGCCTACCTGGCATCTGGTGTGGGACACTGCTGCCACCTAGAAGAGCTAGAGTAAGTTGGGATGGCTAGCCCAGGGCAGGGCTTCAAGGACAGACACACCTCTGAAAGGGTGGCAGGGGCACTTGCATCTGTCTCTGGCCCAAGCCTAGCAGTGCCCAAGCTCAACACTGTTTCTGTCTTGACTTTACCCTTGACCCATGAAGTGTCTCTGGTTAGAATTTTCTTTCTCCCTGGCTTGGGACTGCACATCTGTCAAAATGGGACTTGAATCTGCCTCTGCCTCTGCCTCGGCTGCTGCTGAGGGCCAGAGTACAGAAAGCACAAAGGGACAGAAGAATCATTGTTTGCTTGCATGTCCCTCATCCTCTGTGTAGCCTTCATCTGTCACCCTTATCTGATGCAGCTGTGACAGCCACCCCTCCAGCAGGAACCCTAAAGATTGGGCCTTGGGGCTAGGAATACCCCTGGGGTGAGGACTGGACAGAAAGCCTGGCTATTATCTGTAATCCCAGTCAGCCTCCACAGGGCCAAAGGACAGGTAGGACAGTGCTTGAATGGAGCCTTCTGCTTGGTCTCTACAGCTTCTCTAACAACCGTCTCTGTGAGGAGAACATAGAGCTACTGATAGGAGCCCTTCAGGGGACATGCAGACTAAAGAGGCTGCAGTAAGTGAGGGGACGCTGAGGAGGAGGAGAGGGAGCAGACAGGGCTGGGGAGGCGTAAATGGGGAATGCATGGAAAGGGAAGTAGGTGAGGAGGTTCATGGGGGAGGAGAGTGAGTGGGGTTCATACAGAGGGGTATATGGAATGTGCCTGGGAGCCACTGTGCTCTCTATCCCTCCTTCCTTCCCTCCCTTCCTCCCTCTGAATGTACCTTTGTGTTCCTGGATGAGCTTCCTCACACCATTCACTTTTCTGCCTAGCTGAGTGTGTCATCAGGATGCTTGGTCTTTCAAAACATAATCCCCAACTCAAAGCAGCCAAGGCAGCAGTTGGTTGGCTTTTTTTTTTTTTTAAAGAAACCTACAAGGCAACTAACTTCAATGGCTGGATTCAAGTGTGTGTCGTTTTAGATGCTGTTACAGAAGAGAGGACACAAACTCTGGGCAGGACTCCTTCCTGTCCCTCTGGAATCAGCGCGTTTCTTTCTTCCTTCCTTTCGTTCAACGTTGTGTGTATGCTCAAATGCAGTGTGAGCGTGCAGAGGTCGGGAGGACAACTTTGGGGAGTGGGAGTAGCTCTCTTTCCAGCAGATGGGGTTCAGGGATGCATTCAGGTCCTCAGACTGGGCAGCAAGCACCTTTATCTGCTGAGCCATCTTGCCAGTCACAGTCGTTTTTAGTAACTCTCTGCTTTTACTCTCCCTAGTAACTTGCAATCATCAAAGTCATAGAGATGCCAGAAACAGCCCAACCTAAAAAATATTCCCATTCTGCATAGACCCAGCCTTTTCTGCTTTAAATCTGCTTTTCTGATGACCCGTAATAAACCCTGGTTATAAAAAGCTCCACGGTTTCAAAAAATATGTAACAAAGAGGGTGAAATCCCCTGGAGACAGCGCTTCTTCAGAAAACTTCCTGGAACAGTGAGTTCGTGAACTGTTTTCCCGATATTTCTCCACATATGTGCTGCACACAGTTGAACCACAGCTGAGGCATGCCCCCAGCCTGTCTCTCCTGGCCCATCTGGGGAGAACAGTGAAGGTGGGAGGGAGACATTAGGAAACCTTGGACCATACAAGGCCCACCTGTCTTTTTGTGGAGCTGTTACTTGGGCTTTTTCCCTGGGTATGCACTGCTTGCTCAGGCTTCTGGAATCTTTCCGAGGCTCTGTTGGAGGGGCTGAAGACCCTGTAAGGTCATCTGTTGGCCCTGAAGCTTCGGCCAGCGCTAGGGATCATCCTGCTTTCATCGGCCTAGAATGCCAAGGTTCCTTCTCAAAATACAGAAGCCAGATCTGTTGGGTCCACGTCTTCTGTCACTGGCAGCTCCCCTCAAACCCAGCCAGCTTCTCCCAGCTGTCCTCACCCTCTTCTCAGGCTAGGGGAGTGGACCTTGTGCAGAGCCACTGTCCAGGTGAAGTAGATAGGCTCTTGGTAGGCTGCTGACTGCCTTTATTGGCCGAGGCTGTGTCAACTTCAGCACTGACTGTGTATCCTTAAAAACCCTATCTCGGGCCAGGCGGTGGTGCACGGCTCTCATCCCAGCACTTGGGAGACAGAGGCAGGTGGATCTCTGAGTTTGAAGCCAGCCTGGTCTACAGAGTGAGTTCCAGGGCAGCCAGAGCCACCCAGAGAAACCCTGTCTCGAAAAACAAAAAAGAAACAAACAAGCAAAAGACGATTTCTAGGAAACCAAGGCAGTTGGCCAAGCCACATTGCCTTGCTAGTTCAGACATAGTGTTTACCTCCCTAGGTTAAGTCTTCTTTCTGAGCTTTGATTTACTGGGATTATGAGGACTGAGTGAAACCGTGTGTGGTGAGTGCTGGAAGCATGGTCTGGCAGCAATCGCTTGGTAGGAGCTCTGGCTAATATTATCATTTTTCCCTCCCATGCTCAGGCTGGGGATCTTGAAATCACCAGCCACTGGGTAACACATGGCTGGGGCCCTGGAAAGGGGTCATGAGGTTTTATGTTCTGTTCCTGCTGCTGCTGCTTTTTCTTGTGACCCCGAGTAGGTCCCTTTCCCCTCTGAGCCTCAGTGTTCCTCATCTGTAGAATGGGGCTGAAAGTACAGCCACGTTTTAAGATGGCTCCTGTTATGTGCTCTCTGTTACTGCTCAGCACCAGTCTAAACATGTGGTTGAAAAGACAAAACCCCTGGCCATGGGACTCAATAACCCACACACAACTTATGGGTGCCATCTGCTCTTCACACTTTACATCGGAGGGCTGTGGGTATGCTAAGTACAGAGGCCTCATGAGTCTGGACAGGGCCTCAGTCATGCCAAGTGCAGACCCCAGGCATGAAAAGTTCATCTGGCCTCCTCTCTCCAGCCTCAGTCACTTTCCACTGGAAGCCTCTTCCTCTCTGGCCTTGCTCATTCAAGGACTAAGCCACATGACCCTACTGCAGCACCTTTGGTGAGTAACCAGTGACTCCTGGGAAAGAGAGAGCACCACTGATGAGCTCTGTTGGGACAGCACCCAGGGAAACACTGGGGGCCTCTGGAACCTGTGCTGGCTCCCTCCAGGGACATCCCTGTGCTCTTTCACCTTGGTGCCCATTGTTCTTGCCTTATAGCTCCCCCAGCTTCCTTGATACAAAAGTGACCTGGCAGGGTGGGGCTGGAGCCCCGTAGTAGCCCTTCCCATGCATGGGATTCTCTGCAGACTTGTGTTAAGATGAGAATTAGGACTGCACAGGCCCAGGTGCCCAGATTGTGTGTTTCCAATGAGCATGACAGTGCTGGGAGTTTTGAGGGGCCAGAGACCACACTTTGTCAAGTGATGGGCTGGATTTGATCTCACTCATGACCACCCCCTGCCTATTTGACAAGAGAAGGCCACCCTCTCTTATGATGTGTCTCCCCCCAGCAACACAAAATATTGTGTCTAAAACAAACAAAGGCATTTGGTTCTGTCAGAGGCCCTCTGGACTCTGGTTCGACCTGCAGTTAACATGCAGGAGAATGTGGCATACAAAATCAACCCTCTGCAAGGCTACTTGCTAAAATTCAACCCGCCAAAGAAAACAAACAACCCTCACAACAGGAGGGCAAAACATTTCCCTGGGCAGTTTAGTTTATTTTTCGTTTAGCTCGGCTCTTGCCTCTCATTTAGGCAAGATCAGGTGCAGAAAAGGCAGCAGTGATGATGATGATGATGATGATGATGATGATGATGATGATGATGATGATGACAGTGATGGTGGCGGTGGAGGTGGCATCGGTGTTAATGATGATGGAGAAAGGCCCCAGTTTCAGTTCAGATGCCTTAACTGGGGAACCCACATGAGCTTGCCGTCCTGCCAGACTCACCTGGGACACTCCGTTGCTGGGGTCTAGGCAAACAAGGCAAAGCTGAGGATTGTAGTGACTGTTTCAGGCCAGGGGCTTTAAGCATCATGCGCCCCCCCCCCCCCCGCACCTGCAACTGACTGTGAGTCTCTGCTGCTCACTTTTCTTACCTGGGATAGTCATTGCCACTGTGCTTACTTTCCTCCAAAGGTCTTGTGAGTGGCGTATGAGTTTTCGGGAGGATATAGGTTTGGCGATCTGTAGAGTTCTGCACACAGCACCTGCAAAGACCTTTGTGCTTCTCTGAGCCTGTACTCTGCTTCTCCAGGCTGAGCAAGAACAGCACTTGGTGATGGTGGCTGATGCCTTCTGTCACTCTTTAGAGTTGCTGACAGCTTGAAGGAGCTGGGACAAGTTTCCTGCCCTTCCCTTAGATTCCAAGCAACTTTGGCAAGAAAAAAAAAAGATGGGGGTGCGGTAGGATGCCATATCTCTTCACTTCTTAGTCTCAACCCTTCACACACTTCCACACTGCATAAGCAACTCCTGGGGAGATCCTTGGACTCCCAAAGATGCTATGCAAGAGTATCAGGAAAGATTTTAGGATGATGGCAGGGCCACTCTCCTAAATAGACACCAAGAGTTGGGAGTCCCATCCAAACGTGGGATGATGAGATTCCTGTGTGAGCTGAGGCCTTTCTCTGTCTCTTAACCAGGAGGGGTGCGGGAAAGGCGAGGTGGGTGGCAGGTTGATGGCTCTTCACTCTTGCTTTTCTTCCCAAGCTTGAGGCACAACAAGATTGGAGACGTGGGTACGCAGAGCTTAGCTGCCATCTTGCCAAGGCTGCCAGGGCTCAGGAAGTTAGAGTGAGTCTCAGCCCCACTGAAAAGAGCCTGCAGGGACCACACCATGTTCCTGGGAGACACTGGGCCCTGGCCCAGACCAGAGGTGGAAAGGGGAAGCTTTCCCAACCTTGGTGCCCAGTAGGGAGATTTGTGGCCTCTTAGGTCCTATTCTCTGGGTTCTTGTGTCCCATCAGGAGGGAGGCGTGGCTGCATCTCTTATGCAAATGTAGTGGGGAGGGATGAAGGAGGAGGGGTGAGGGAAGAGGGGTGAGAGAGGAGGGGTGATGGAGGAGGAAGGAGAGAGGAGAGGGTCCAATAAGCTCCTCTTTCAGTCTCTCATGGAACAACATTGGCCCAGCTGGGGGAGTGCAGCTGGCGAAGTCTCTCACCCATTGCAGGTGCTTGGAGGAGATCACGTGAGTATCTGTCCAGGGAGGTGCCCCACAGGACCCCTGGCCTACTTGTTCCTTCAGAACAGGGCAGAGTGGGGACCCTGAGCAGGCTGCCCATGCTCACCCTCTCCCTGCCCTTCTTACAGACTGGGCCACAATGCTCTGGGGGATCCCACGGCCCTGGGGCTGGCTCGGAGATTGCCCCCACAGCTGAGGGTCCTGTGGTGAGTGTCCTCCTGCTGACTGTGCACACAGAACAGTGAAGGGGTGACCCAGGAGAGGTGGGAGGGTTGAGCATCCCAGCCTGAGATCAGCATGGCCCATTCTCTGCTGCCACTCCCCAGTTCCCAGATGAAGCTTAGTGTTGACCCTACCCATTGTCTCTGTGAGCCCCCCACCCCCAGCCAAGTTTCTGTCCTGTCTGAGCCTTAGTTTTCTCATTTGTAACATGTCACCTTTCCTGCTTGAGAGCAAGTCTCTATAAGTGTTTGAATAAAAAGTGTCAGTAAAAGGCCACTTGCAAAAGCTTCAAGGGATTGCACTATTCTCTACAAGTCAAGTCCCTGGCTTCCTGAGACCCATGCATCCATTCCTAGGTCTGGGATTCTTATATATATACCATATTCTGGGAAGAGAGCTAAGACTAGAAACAGTATGAAAAGCTTGACTCCCTAATACATGAAGAACCCAAGCCCTGAACTTAGTGTATCAGAACCGTAAGTCAGGGACCTCGCCATCCATTGGGACCTTTGTGAGCAGGGACAGAGCCAAAGGCCAGCTAAGGTTGTTGCTCTAATCTGAGGCATAGCTAAGAGCGTGAGGCTTCTTGAAGGCTCCCAGCCCTAGGCTCCTCTCACCTTGCCCTTTCCACAGCTTGCCATTCAGTCATCTGGGTCCAGAGGGGGCCCTGAGCCTGGCTCAGGCCTTGGAACAATGCCCACACATAGAAGAGGTCAGGTGAGGCGGAGTCCTGCTGGGGCCGAGGGATGGGTTGGGAGCCTCTGTGTCACTTCTGACTGGTGTCTGTCCTCTCCCACAGCTTGGCAGAGAATAACCTGGCTGGAGGTATTCCACATTTCTGTAAGAGGCTCCCACTGCTTAGACAAATCAAGTAAGTAGCCTTCCCTGACCTTGTGGGCTCTTGCTGAAGGGCCACAGTTCTCTTTCAGTAAAGCCTTTTCCCAGGAGGTCCATTGAAGAGATGGGAGTTGAGGATGGGGGATAGGAGAACCATGATTTTCTAAGCGATAGCCCCTGGCTCTGGCTGGGCCACCCTGGTCCCTCCTGCTCTCGTTATGGGAAATGGGGTCCTTCTGGTTATGGCCTCTGTCTCAGAGGCCACCCTCATTCCATCCAGCCTGATTTCCTGCAAAATTGAAGACCAGGCTGCTAAGCACCTTGCCACCAACCTCATGCTCTGCCCGAGCCTGGAAGAAGTTTTGTGAGTACTTGGGTGGGCCTTCTCTCCACTGGTCTTCCCCTCTGGAGACGGGAAACCATTTCTTGCCCCACAATCTTACCCCTTGCTCTCCAGCAACACAGGGCAGAGCACTGGACCTCTCCTGCCCATTTCTCTGTCTGTGGGATGGGAAGGGGGGGGTCCCTTGGCCTGCAAAGGATTTTTGTCTTTGACTCTCCATGTGGGGGACGCTTTTCATGGCTTATGGAGTCTCTACCTGTGAATAGCCATTCTAACACGGAAGGCAAGAAGCTGGTGGAGAGCCCCCACTACCACACTGGCTGGGTCCCTTTGGCCATCCCACTGCCTCAGACCTCCGACTGTGGCAGCACTGTCAAATAGTTAAACCTGACTGCTAGGATTTGAGGCCCTGAGCATACAGAAGAAAATCCTAACTCCCAAAGTACGGGGAACAGTGCAAGAGGATTTCCAGGTCTGCAGCCTAAATAGTTGGAAGAGGTTTGTTTTCTCTGTCTCAGGATAGAACCCAGAGCCTCGTGCATGTCAGCTGAGTAGTATGCTGTTGGGGTAGCTGCACCCTCCGCTCTTCAGGTTCTTAATCCTCCTCCTTATGCCACAAGCCAGCACTCCTGATCTTGAACCTGCCCTTTTAAACCAGTGACCCTCCTTTTTTGTTATTGTTGTTTGTTTGTTTATTGAGACAGGGTTTCTCTGTGCAGACCTGGTTGTCCTGCAACTCATTCTAGACCAGGCTGGCCTCGAACTCAGAGATCCACCTGCCTCTGCCTCCCAAGTTCTGGGATTAGAGATGTGCATCACTGTCGCCACCACCACCCGGCTCGATCCTCCCCTTTTAACCAGTAGGAACAGAGCAAGGGACTGGGTCCCTGCTGGAAGTTCTGCCCTTAGGAGCGGCTGTATTCACTCTCTTCAGTACCTTCCCTCTAGGGTTCTTCCTATGGAGCTCCCACAAACAGTAGAGACCTGTGGTTCCATTGAAGATTAATTCCTTAAAACACAAACAGTGGTGGGGGAGGCTCTAAAACCGTGATGCACACCACCACATGGGAAAGAGACATTGCTGCAAGGTGTTTTCTCGCTGTGCATTGCGTCATACTATGGTTTCTCAGGAACATGTTGCTCAGGCATAGGGTGGGGGTGGGGAGGGAGGAAGGAAGCACCTTCCACTGAGGAGTCTTCCCAGGTAGGTAGTTACTCAAGCACCCGCAGGGTAACTTCTCTCGTACCTGGTGCTGCTGGCGCCTAGTGCTTCCTACTGTTTTCCTTTGGCCTCAATGTCCTCCTGCCTCTGAGTGTGCCCCTCCTCCACCTCGCAGGCTGTCCTGGAATCTCCTTGGTGATGAGGTGGCTGCCGAGTTGGCCCAGGTCCTGCCGCAGATGGGGCAGCTGAAGAAAGTGGAGTATGATATACCCTTGGGTGGGGAATGTAGAAAGGACTCACATCCTGAACAATTCCAGAGGTTACTGGGACATTCCTGCCTCTCAGACATCTGTCCAGTGTCTTAGAACACTCTGGCAGGTCCCAAGCCCCTGCCCAGCTTAGTTCTTCCCATGCAATAGGCTTCAGCCTTTCAACCGTTCCACAGGGGTCAGAGTCCACTGCTAAACTCTGGTGGTACTGGGAGGAGTTGACCTTGTCCTGCCTGGGATAGGATGTGGAGAAGGAACTCCCACCACCAGCCTCATGCTTGCCTCTCTCTTCCTCTTCCCCTGCCACTGCCCACTGCAAAGCTTGGAGAAGAACCAGATCACGGCACTCGGAGCCCGACTCCTGGCCCAAGGGCTGGTCCAGGGATCCTGTATCCCAGTCATTCGGTAATGAAGGGCTGGGCCTTGGGGTAGAAGGCCGCACAGACCTCACAGTGTAAAGCAGCCTCCTGCGGGGAGAGGCAGAGCCTGGGCTGAGGATTACCTGGGGAGACTTTGACTATTCCATCGGGAATCTGGCAGCCAGCAGCCCTGGATGAAATCCCAGCTCTGCTCTTTGCCAGCTGTGTTAACTTTGCCTCTGTAGCTGTATGTCTCTGAACCTCAAAGTCCTCGTCTGTTTCTACCTGGGAGGGTGCTGAGGACCGAAGGGGTGGCTAGGGCACAGAGCCTGAGACATAGCTCTCTGTGGGGCGGGGGCACCATGCTAAGGTGGCTGCAATGGTATATACGGCCTCCACTGGGTGACATGGGTGGCTCTTCTGCTTTAGGCTTTCCTTGATCCCAAACCCTGTGGGTAGGTTAGGAGCAGAGACAAGAGGATGAGAGAACAACTCTAGAGCTGAGGCCCATGTCTATGCCCACAGCCTCTGGAAAAACCCCATTCCTGCTGACGTAGCCCAGAGCCTGCAGAGCCAGGAGCCCAGGCTGGACTTTGCCTTCTTTGACCAGCAGCCCCAGGCTCTTTGAAGAACCCAATGGATCTCTCAAGACTTACGAGTCCAGCCCAGGGACAACATCACCTAACCAGGAGAGGGGGCTCAGGAGAAGAGAGAGTCCTATGATGTCAAATACGACAGGGAAGGCTATGAATGGTACACTATGACCTATTGACATGAAAAGCTCATGCTCATGACAGGGTATGCCAAATGTGGCATTACATGGGATTTGTAGAGTGGCTGGCACCTGGTCAGAGCCTCTTTGCACTGTAAGTGGCAGTACACGTGATCAGGGATCCACCCATGATATGGTGTCCATGTCACGTGACACTCAGCTTGCTGGGGAAACCACAGGCAAGTCTAAAATCTAATTTATTATTATTTAAAAAAGAACATGAAGCTAGGCTAATGGTATGGGCTATGCTATATGAACAACCTCTTAGCTGTTCAGGAATCTGAGGCAGAGGGGCTGCAAGTTCGAGGCCAGCCTGGGTAATTTAGTAAGATCCTGTCTCAAAAGATCAAAACGGGCTGGGAATACAGCTCAGTGATGGAGTGCTTGCCTTGCATGTGTGAAGCCCTAAGCTAAATACTCAGTACCATTTTCAAAAAGTATTTATAAGCAATTTCTGGAGCAGCTGAGCCCAGGCATCTTTCTGTCCTGGGTTGGGAAGGGAGTTAAGTACTGACTGTCCCAATACCCCAATTGTCAGGGCTCTGGGACATGCCAAGGACTCACCATGAAGTCCCTTCCTGCCAGAGCCCCAGTTCTCCCTTCTGTTAATTGGGTAAGCCACCCTTCCAAGGATGTTCAGCCCCAGCTTAGGAGCTAGCCTGACCTTGGGACAGTTCAGGCTCATCTGTTCCTTCCTGGTATACGGGACAAAGGCAAACCTAGGGGTCAGGATTAGGTACTTCCAGAGCATTGGGCCAGGCACCTGGCCCACCTACTACCTCAGCAGGATTTAGAAACCCTTGAGACTCCAGGTTTTGTGTGTCTGTGTGTGTGTCTGTGTGTGTGTGTCTTCCAAGAGGGAAAATATCTTCACTGCACTCCAAGTCAAATGATCAATAAACACAGACAGTCCTCCTGCCTGTAGCTGGTGTCTGATAAGTTTCCTGCCTCTCTGAGGTCAGAAGTGCACCACCTCTGCACTGTGGACTGGAGAACTGGAGAGATGACAGAAGTGTGCTAGGATGGGCAGCGGCTCGAAGTTATCGGTCCCGTGACCACAGACACCACGCCAAACCTCACCTGTCACATGAGGCAGGTTATCAAAGTTCAGGTGGTAGAAACAGCTTTGTTTGACATACATAATACTTAACCTCTTCTCTGAATTGATGGTCAGTATTTAAATTCTGGAAATTGTATTTTAAAATCCCAACTCTGGCTTTTTAGGAGATAGTCTAAAGCCAGGCATGCTTGCATATGCTTATAACTCCAGCCCTAGTGCTTCGGTCATATAGGGAGGAGATACCAAGGTCCCTCTTTGCTACATTTCAAATTCCAGGACAGCCTGGTCTATGCGAGATTCTCTGAGGGTCAGGGGAAGCTAGTCCAGCCCCCCCCCCCCACACACACACACTTGAAAGAACAAAGCTACGCTGATGAAGCCACATGATGTGACCTTTAGCTGGGACACACATCCCTCAGGCTGCTACAATCCCTCCCCTGTCACCCTGACACCACACCAACTACCCTCTTTTGGTTTTTGCCTGGCCGAAAGGGTAGAATATTTGGAACATGACTGAGAACGGAATGTGATTTGGCCCCTTCCATATCTTGGAAGGCGTGAACTGTTTCTTTGGGTCACGCATGCTCCATACACATACAATGTATGCACGTGTACGGACACAAGATGAGGTGAGGTCGGGAAAGCAAGGTGAACAAAGTCCTTGCCACAAAGAAGTAAGTGCTTATTACACGCTATTTCCCTTTCTGCTTTAGGGTTGAGCGTCATACGGGGTGCGGGGGTGCGGCGATGCCCCAAGTACCTACTCTCAGTGGGTACAAGTCCCTCCTCCTCCCACTACGTTGTGAAAAGCCAGGCCGGTAGGGTGCAGTTACAGCTCAGTAGCACTAGAGGGCACGCTGGCCCACCAGTGCTTTCCTGATGGAACTCACCAGAAAGAAGACCATGGGACCCCATAGGAGGTTAGGTGATGTTGGAGGCTGTTCCCATCTGGCCAGTCGCTTGGTATGTCAAAGCATGCTTGTGGCTCACCAGGATGACTTGGCCCTGACCTTTTCGGCCCTCCACACTGTCTCTGGCATCCCGCCAAGCACGAGGAGAAAGTCCTCCGGCCAAGTGCCAAACACCCATTCATCATACCAGGACATCCTTATCGGGCCAGAACAGGGGCACACCTGGCGCCATCCACCACGATCATGGGCAGGAAGTTAGCAGGTAGAGGACTCAAGAAGTTTACCAAGAAATCCTGGGTCAAAATCCCGTTTCCCTGCCCGGGTCAGCTAGCAGTTGTTGTGCCCCGCTGTGCCCTGTCTGGCCCAGATAGAATTCAGGATAGTTCAATTTTAAAAAGACCCAAGCACGTCCACCGGAAGTGCCAGGCCGAGCGAGGAGCACACAGGGTAGGACCCGAGGAGAGGAAGCCAAGGACACGGAGACAAGCTTTCATTTTTCAGACCACCATTTTACATTTGGCTTTTCAGCTTTCGCCCCCCCCCCCCCCCAGTTCTAAACTCCAAGAAACTCACAACAGCGGCCCCAAAACAGACCATGTGCTGACTGGCAACGCGGAGCTGGCTATGACCACCTCAAGTCTGCGTGCCAATTCCTTGTTCTTTTTTCCTGAGTAACTTCCTTTCCTACCGCCTACCAGCTTGAGAACCTTGGCGGGTTTTCATCTCAAGCTAGTGGGGCCCAGTGTACCTGAAGGCTTCCTCCCAGAGGAGGCCCAGTTTAAGAATATAGAGAGAAGCGAATGAAACCCAAAGACGCGGAGTAAGAAGCTTGAGCGCCTTCTCTAAGAGGTAAGGATGTGGCCTGGCCTGGGAGCACCTAAGTCTGCCTGCAGGGCTGGGAGAAGCTCATGCTGTTTATCACTTATTCATCATCCTAGGGGTTCACAGATGGAACAAATGTCTGTCTTCCTGATAGGAACTGCAGTTACTATTTCTACCTCGGACCTGAAGCTTTCCTGAACTACTTTGCCTGTCCTGTTCCCCACCTCTACCGCCTAGCACATACAGCTGTCTGGAAGCCACTGTGCCAAACTGCCTTGGGAAATTGATGAGAAAGCTCCCTATAAAAGTCCAGTTATTAAAAAACAAACAAAAACTTCCATGTGCAATGAATGTGAAGGTTCAGCGTCAGGAAACCTGGGCCTCCTGGACTGACATTCTGCATTTCTAAGAAGTCAAAAGAGAACCTGGGGGCGGTCCTAGATTGGGAATGGAAGTGGCCTACAGGTCTGGGTGTTCTGTAGACAAGGAAATGAAACAGTCCTGCACCCTGCCTGGGTTCTGTTTTGACCAGCCAAAGCAGGCCACATCCAGAGTTTATAAGAAAGACGTAAGAGGCTAGCATGCTGAAGATTACCAGGCAGCCCATGTCACCAGCAGGTCACACCTCTAGTCACCAGTGGGTGGATAGACATCATCAACAGTGAAAGAAAGAAAGCCCTCCTTTGTCTATGGTCACACCACCCTGAGTACTTCCAACCCCATTTGAGCTTGAGGAAGTGTTCCCTGTGACTCCAGCCGAGCTGTGGTCTGAACCCAAGCAAAAACTGCCCTCCCTGAACACAGGTGACCTCAGACCCATGAGACAAGGTTTGGAGTAGAGCTGCACGCATTATAATTCCTGACTCCCTCCGTCCCCTCCCTTCCCACATACCTGAGGCCCAGCCAGGTCCTGGCAGTGGGTGTGCTCAGGATGGCTTTGACTCATAAGCATGGGGAAGGGTTCGGGCCACCTGGGTTACTCTGAGCTGTCTGTCTGTCCAGGCAACCAGCACCAGAGAAACCAACCTCAGGAACGTGTGCTGACTTACATGCCCCCCACAGGGGCTTCTTACGGGGCTCAGGCCTCCAACTGAGAAAACTAGAAAACTCTCTAGGCCCCCAAGGGCAAGTCTTCACCCACTTTGCACCCTTGCATCTTTCGAGCAGAGTATGACACTAACCTGTTTCCTGGTCTCTGCCCTTGGCTTTAAGGCAGCTGTGACATACAGCCAACATGTCTGATACTTGCCCTTTAACGTATACCTGTCCTTCGGTTTCATCAAGAGTGACACAACTGTTAGTCAAGCTCTCACTCCTGTGACAAAACACTTGAGATCAGCACCGAAAAGGAAGAGATCCTCTGGCTTGTGGTTTCCTCTTAAGGTGTTCTGGCTCCATTGTTACTGGGCATCCAGGAAGGCAGAACATCATACCCCATGATGCCAAGGGAACAGAGAGGTGGTGGAAAGGAAGCCCTTTCATCAAGGACAGAGGGAGAGGACTCCCTCAAGGGCATGGTCCCGGTGACCTTCCTCTGGCCAGCTCCCACCTCCTGAAGTGTCCAGCACTTCTTAGTAGTGAAATGATTTACAGACCAGTACTTCAACAGGAAGCCTTTGGGGACACTCCAGATCTAAATCATAACTACGTTCTAATTTTAAAACCTTTTTTTTTTTTATTCATCCCTTCAAGAAACCTTGTGTCAAATAGCAATTATGCCCTTTCTCCCTCCCAGGCCCAGGTGACTAGAATTCTCTTTTCTACCTCTGTGGGGAATGTATCTTCTGGACATTTTCTCAAATGGAATCATACAGTATGTGGCCTTTTATGACAGGCTTCCTTTGAAACCTTCCTGTAGTGTGTCAGTAGTCTCCCCCCAGTTAACAATATTCCACCGTGTGGAGTGTGCACTGAACTTTTGTGACACAGAGTGGATCCTTCTCACTTCTTGGCTCCTCTGAACCAGGTTGCTACAAATATTCGTACTCATCTTTTTGTGTGGATATACAGTTTCATTTCTCTTGGGAATGGAATTGCTGTGACCCCTGACCTTTACTACTCTGTTGTCCCCACCAGGGCTTAGTGACATTTTCCTCCTGGACATTCCAATCACCTTATTCTTCTGGGCTCTCAGTCAAGTGCCATGGCTGAGCTGGGTTCTCTATGATAATTACCTTTAATCCTGAACTTTTCCATCCATCTACTTGTCTACCCGACCTGCCTGTTGCTTGAGAAGACTATCCAATCCCACTACCTAGTGCCTAAAGGCCAGTGAGATCCTGGGGGCTAACCAGGATAATCAAGGAAGGCTTCCTGGAGGAAGTACAGCAGGAGTCGGCTCTAAGAGGCGCTACAGGTTGCTTTATCCCAGAGCAAAAGCAGAGGGCATCCAGGACTTTCGGTGCAAGAGGACTGAGGAGAATCTGGAGAAAGACAGAATGCTCCGGGGACAGGCAGGCAGAGAACAAAGCTCTGTGCCCTGGGGCTGCTTGGTGGGGGCCCTTCTAAGGCTGCAAAGTGCCAGTGACTCAGACGTGGAGCGAGTTCATAGCTGCAGTGTGAGTCTCCCGCATTAACCCTTATCTGTCTGGAATAAAAAAAAACCCTGCAACCTAAGCGGCCAGGCTTTCAGCCACACAGTCCAGCAATCCGTGCACATAAGGGCCAAGGGCTTTGGCCACGCCTCTGAGATCTCTGGACAGCTACGGCCCCCCGTCACGGAATCTGGTTAAAAGAACTCGGGCCCTGATGGCCAGTGGTTAACTTGCTCAGAGGGTACAAAATACCACAGAGTGGCCACCAGCTGCCCAGCGACAGAATAGTCCCTTAAGAACTGCTGCCTCTTCTGGGTCAAAAGCGGGCTGCGCAGAGGGGAGGCCTCAGCTCCGCGGAACTGCTCTCCCGTTGAGCCCAAATCCCATTCCAAATGTCTTTATCTCGTCGTCTTTGTCACGGGAATATGTGTCATCTTCCCAGTCTCTGGCGGCAAGAAAACGCTATTGAAAGAAATATAAAAAAATAATAATAATAAAATAAAAGAGAGAAAAACACTGCCGTTCTAGTGCGGCTCCAACAGCTCCAAAGCGAGTCCTGGGCGTCTCCCCGAGGGCTCCGCGCAGAACCCTGCTTGC